ACCAGCATGACCATTTTGGGTTACCAGCTAAACCAGCTCCAGACAACTAGACCAGCCTAAAACAGCATAGACTATCTTAGACCAACATGTAATACATGCTGGTCAAAGCTGGTATTTAAGCAGAGATATGTTCAAAAGTATCCAGACACCCCTTCTCCTTAGTGAATTCAGCTACTGTAAGGTGCACCCATTGCTGACACAGGCATTCAACAGCAGACATACAGTTTTCATAATCTCCATTGAAAAGTGTTTACAACAGAATGAGACACGCAGGAAACAGCTGCATATGAGCCACCATGCCTAATGCCAAGTGTAAGCTAGAGGGGTATAAAGCCTGCCAGCATTGGGCTGAGGAGCAGTGGAACTGTGTTCTCTGGAGTGATGGAGCTCCATCTAGTACCTTTGGGATGGAGTGGGACTGATCAAGAACTAATCATCCAATATCAGTAGCTGACCTCACTAATGCTCTTGTGGCTGTGTGCAATCAAATCCTCAAAGTGATGTTCTAACATGTACAGCATTCTCAGAAGACTAGAGGCTGTTACTGCGGCAAAAAAGCTCCCTATTTATACCCTTGAGTTGAGAAGAAGCATTGGATGAGCAGGTGGACATAGAGGGCTGAGAGCGCTTCACCAAAAACACCACCATCTGTGGCATGCCCTCATCTTTATCTCTGCCTCTGCCTGGATAAATACATCGTGATGTCAAGGTTCCATTCAGGCTCGTCCTCAACCAATCATGAATAATCCAAGGGAAGCAGCTGACATCCATCCTCTTCCTCCTTCCGCTCATGACAGCGCTGTAAAGTGCTCTATCAGAGTCATTATTCCAAATCTAGCTCCAATCGCTGCTGAAAAAACAAATTTCTTTATGTTCACAAATACCTATCCAAGCCTTTACTTACCCACACTGTCTTCAATCCGTCGACTAGTCATGACTATGAGTAAAATGTATTATACCTGTGTCATTCAGAGCACACAGCAGCCAATAGAACTGCTAGAATAAGATCTCGCAGAGGACTATTCAGATAAGCAGTAAATTCTTAGAGTGCCAATTTATCTTTCCCCATTTGCCTTTTTAAAAGGACCTTTCAAAAGTTCAAATCTGTCACCAAAGGCTCAGAGAAAGCTGAAAGCACTCTGCGACAGCTGCCGTGTTTGGCTCCTAGCATCTGTGGGATCTCCCAGCAGCCCATGCCTGCTGCTGTTGCACGCTAATACACACCCATAGGCCCAGGCGAGAGGAGCCTGCAGCAGCCCCAAAACAAAACCATGCCCTGAGGTACACTGTCCAACCCACTGAAGTCACACACACAGCTATAAAGCAGCCACTGTTTGTAATTATGCTGTTATTTCATTAATTTGAACTGTAGTGTTTCAGCTTTGCTTATCTTCCTTTGTTGAGATTTTCTGTTGAATGACTTATATGCTACTCTGTATTCTGTTATGTGCTCGTGTTGTCTCTCTTTTTTCTTTCTTTAGTTTTTTTTTTTGCTTTTTATTTTCATATACAGTACTCTGTAAAAGTTACCACCCTTCATTTAATTTCCAGTCAAAACAACCATTAAGTACAATTACACAGAAGCCTCAACAACTAAATATTTCAGAGTTTTTAAATGTTTATTGCGTCCACACTTTGTCTCTATTACAGCTTTCATTTTTTCCGGGAGACTTGCCCGCAGGGATGTTTTTCCACACCTCCAAGGTTCAGTCTTAGAAGTTACATTTTCTGCTTCTCATGATCCAAGTAAACCCAAACACATTGAGTGATGTCTGGACACATTCAATATAAGATTAGATATAAGACAATCCACTGTATAAGGAACATGAACGTCAAATGAAAAATTCCAAAGTTTCCACAACCGGAGCCTAAAAAAAAATTACTAAAAGATACTGAGAAATGGGACCAAACATGCAAGACCTGGTAGGCCACCAACACTGTCACCATCGGATAAACAGGACTTAAAGCTTTCATCTTTGACAGAGAGGAGAAAATCATGCTCCACTCTTACTTCAGATCTCGAAAAATCCACAGGTGTTTCTGTTCATCCTTCCACTGTGAGAAGACAACTCAGCACTGTGAGTCTAAAAGGATGTTTAGCTGTCAAGAAGCCCTTACTGAGAAAAGAAAACAAACAAAAAAGAAGAAAATATACAAATCAAAGAAGCTGCTGGTGTTCTCTGAAAAATGTAATGAACACCCCAGAGTCCAGACCTCAACATCACTGAATATGTTTAATGCTTGGGATTACTTTGATTGTGAGAAGCAGAAAACGCAACCAATGTCTAAGACTGAACTTTGGAGGTGTGGAAAAATGTCCCTGCAGATTTCTTTGAAAAACTGACAGCAAGCATCCTGAAAAGAATTGAAGCTGTATTAAAGGCAAAGGGTGGACAAACTAAATGCTGAAAAATTGATACTTTATTTTGTTGCTGAAGCTGCTGATTAATTTTCAGTTATAAAAGTGTGTTCTGTTCTTTTTTTCTGACACTACAAATTAAAAAGTTTTATTAACTCTGAGAAACCAATTAGAACTGCTCCACTTTACCACAGTGAATTACATCTGTCTGGTTAAGTCAGTATGGTGCCACTTCAAAAAGATAAAATAATTATTTTAGGATCAGAATCGACAGAATAAAATAATGGAATACAAATTTGAACAGAAGTCAAATCCAAAAAACAGACACAGCGAGACACCCCAAGGCCACAGCAATCCGTCTCTGTGAAGCCAGCCATGCTCTCGAAAAGAGGATCTGACTGTAAAAATAAACTCTACAGCCAATTAACTCACCAAATCACATTCTAAAAAAAATCTCACAGGCCTGAAAACAAGCTTCACTACATCTGGTTGTTTTGACTTCTGTGTCGCTCACACTGTGAGGCAGGTGATTGCACGCTCTTTCAGCTCTCAGGAAGCAGCAGAGTCTGCACCAAGCTCAGCTTGCAGCCAAGCAGGAAATTGTCTGAGGGCATAACCAACAGGACTGGGGGCAGATTCTCCTCCAGGAACCATCACAGCTCCCTGATTACAGCATAACCCATATCTTTCTCTGCATGCAGACAGTCAGTTTGGTGCTGCAGGTCCGTTAGGGGAGGTTTGATCATCAGGCCATTGTTAGGCCTTTAGAAGAACGGAAATATATCATCACATCAGTTTACTGAGCACAAAAACACTTCAGAGACATAGTACAGGTCAAGCAACTGAATCAAATTCTGTAATCAACTAATCACTGTTTGACCACTAACAGAAAAGCTGGGGTCAAGAGAGCAACTTGAACGATGTCCAGGAAAATCCACTGACCACAAACTTCATTGTGGAAGGACAAAGCAGAGCAGAGACAGCAACAGTACGTAAAAGAATGCATGACAGAGTCACCGAAACCAGGGATCCACTGATATGGAATTTCTGAGCTGATAATATTTTGTTCTGGATACCAATAATGGATTATTTAAATTTATATTTTCTATGCTTACATTATAATCTATACATAAAGTTCAGTGAGCATAAGAACAGGTTAGAACTCTAAAAATAGAGCCTTTATTATATTATATTTTTATTATATGTTATTGTAACATATCCATGACCACTGACGGGGGCAGGGATGGTTACTCTAAATACACCCAAAGCAACTTGGTGTGTAAATCCCAAATAGTGATGGAAGTATGTATAGGTGATATCATGTAACATTAGTCCAAGGGGGATTGAAAGGGCGAAGGCAATTTGCCAAATTCAGCCATGGCTATGACAAACAGTACTGTGCAAAAGTCAGAGACCACCCTTCATTTATTTGATTACTACTCAACTTGTCCATCAAGTATCCATGAAGTACAAATTACTCATTTCTCAGCATCATGAAAAAAAGCACAAAACATATTTAACAGAAAATTACACAGAGGCCTCAACAACTAGATATAATTTTAAAACTGGTCAATGTGTAGAGAGTGTCCACAATTTCCCTTTATTACAACTTCCATTCTTTTCAGGAGTCTTGCTTTCAGTTTTTCAAAGAAATCTACAGGGATATTTTTCACACCTTTAAAGTTCAGTCTTAGAAGTTGGTTGTATTTTCTGCTCCTCACAATCCTAGAAATCCCAAACACATTCAGTGATGTTGAGGTCTGGACTGTTAAGGTGGTCAGTCCATTGTTCTCAGAACCCCAGCATCTTCGTTTGATTTGCTAATTCTTTTTTGTCTGTTTCCTTTTTGCTGTAAGGGCTTGTTGACAGCCACACATCCTTTCAGACTCATAGCACTGAGTTGTCTTCTCACAGTGGAAGGACGGACAGAAACACCTGTGGATTTTTTCAGATCTGAAGCAGGTTGATTTTCTCCTCTCTCTCAAAGATAAAAGCTTTAAGTGTTGTTTATCTGACGGTGACAGTGTTGATGGTCTGCCAAGTCTTGTATGATTGTTAGGAGTCCCATTTTCTCTGTATCTTAAGATCTAATCAAGCATTTTTAACTCTTTTGGAAACCCCTGTTTTTCCACTTATTTTGCTTGGACTTTCTTTTTCCTTATTCTAGTGGATTATCTAACCACTTACAATGGTTGATAAACAAAGTGTTAGGAGTCCTGCCCAAGGACTCTTACTGCTACAGCAGAGGCATTTTGGCCAGGATGGGTAATCAAACCTCTGATCTTCTTGTATCCAAAGGCGATTGAGTTACGCACTATGCTCTGTTTTGGTGAGCTGAGAGGAAAGCAAATGCCAAGCAACAACACATGCGTTAGAGCTTGCAAGCTAATAATGCACCACATCATCAACTGCAATCAATATCAGACCAATTATTTTTCTGATATATCGTGCATCCTTAAAAGAAACATTTACAAATCTCCACAGCTGTACCTGGATGAGACAAGTGTCATCAAGAGAGAGTGCAGTGATAGTGAAATCCCTCAAATCCCACACACCTTAAAGTAAAGCTCTGGTCCACACTGTGACGTAAGTACACAAAGAAAAGTGTCTTCAAATGTTCATATCAAACATAACAAACTCATGTAGGTCAAATCTTTTTATTTGCAGATTCAAATGATGTAGAGAAACTGAATGTATATTTACAGAACTTCGTACAAAGCTTCAGTCAGTGGAATAAAAAAAAAAAAAAATCTCTGATAACATGAGATGTAAAGCTAAGTAGTCGAAGCAGCCAAAGGAAGCAAGGCAGATTCTCTAAAGCAGGAACAAACAGAAGGAGCTGGGAGTTCAGAGGAGTCTTTGATTCTACAAATCCTACTGAAAAGTGGATTGCGTCTATTGCACATGATACATGAATGATCTAGTCCTAGCCTTTTTCCCTTTGAGAGCAGATTCAATCTAAATTATAAATATAAACCAGGCCCAGTGTGATACCCATGATAAAACAGACTATTAACAAACATTACTGGGGTAGATTAAGCAGAACTCTCTCCGTCACTGAACGGAAAGCTCAGCTGCTCACTAAACGAACTGCTCTATCATTTTGTATAGTCAAAACTGCTTTAAATATCTATTAAGATAAACAAAGTCCCTTTCAGTGACCCATGATAGGCTTTATGTGTCTTTTACTGACAACCCAAACAGACCTGCGCAAAATAAATAATAATCTTTTCCACTTTTACATTATCAAGCATAGTTCCACAGCTTTCCATTAGACTATGCATTACAGACACTCTCTGAAAACATCCGAAGTATTAAAAGCATCTGAACCCTGAGACGAGTCTCCTCTCACGGCTCTTTCGTTGAGAGCGCATGCCAGCAAAGCACAAATGGTAATTGCCAGAAACGGATTGCAGCAGAGCCGTCAGTGTTTATCGCACTCGTTTCAGGATCCTGTACATCAAAAGGCACAAAAACAATGTCAAATTTGCCACCGTGCTGCTGTGAGCAGGCAGGAAGGAACTGGGTGGAGAAGATGCTACAGTGCAGGGCCACGGACGCCCATCATCGCTGTAATAAACGGAGAGAAGCTTGCAACGTTGCTGAAGGCTTATCTCATCATAGTCTGACAGGTCTAGGAGGCTTAGAGCACATGACTGCATGACAGCACGCGTGACCACAGACAGATAAGCCCGGAATATGACAGGGTAAACAAAAACATGACACATGAGCCGCGACAAACAGCTACTCTGAAACTCTGAAAAGTGATTGGACATAAAAAGCTTTACTGCACACAACATATGTGCTGGATCGGATGTATAAACGCTTATATATGTGCTAACTTTTGCAGACAGGCACCAGTGTATCCACGTAGATTCGAGATAATATTATGATAAAGAATTATTGTTTATTAGCTCCTGCAATAAAATGTGGCTATAACATTTCCCAGTGTAAAACAATGTCTTGGAGTCCATTCAGTCACGTCTACTGGTAATAAAAGGTGACCAAAAGATGTTTAATATCACATATGTGAACCCCAAATGGTTCCTAAAAGGAGTATTTGTTTGTCACAACTTGAAAGGAACCTAGGTTTAGCTGCGAAGCCTGTTTCACAGCTAGTAAAAGCTGTTGATCACAACGCACTACAGCACTGCAATACAAGTGGCTCCGTGGGGAGTCCCCCTAAATCAAGTCACTGGCTTTTGCTAAAGTGCTAAAAATGTCAGATAAAATAAACAGAGATGCGTAAAATCTCATGGGCCTCACAACCACCAAATAAACATAACTCTAAAAATAAACAGCTCACTGTTCAACATGGTCCCAAATGTATCCTGCATCTCATAAAGGGAATATTCATAAACATACTTGCAGGGTCCCTGTGCGAGAGCTTGAAGAGTCAACACGATGAAATACAAACATCAAGTGCATCAATACACACAATTATATATAAAAAATGGCAAGGAAATCCAAACCTTCATTTGTACATCAAAGTGCTAGGAATTGTCACAGTGTGTGTGATTGAACAGTCTTTCTTCAGTGACTCAGTTTATTTGGAGATAAACCCTAAAATGTCGATGACGAGAGACATTTAACAGACCCCTTATGTCACAGTTTTATCTTTTAGTGGCTGGACGATAAGCCTCAAAGTGGACAGATTATTGAACAACTTTACATCTAGCATATCTTTAATTCAAATGACTTCATTCACACTTATGTCCTCCAATTAGGTCCATGCTTGCCTCACCAGAATAGCTCAAGTGCAGTCCTGTCAGACCCTTCATCACCACCAAGAACTGCCACTGAGAAAACCCCCGTTAGTGTGTGCACAGGTAAAGGCCAGAGCAATTCTGTTCACCCATTGTGTGAAGAAAGCTGCCCACCTCAAATACTACAGTATCTGCCTCATGAAGAGCTTGAGGACTCTCCCTCTGTGTGGAAGATTCAGTCCCTGCAGCTGGAGCTGCTGTCAGGAGTCAGAGGGCCAGATGGGGAGGGGATGGGCCTCTGTGTTGAACACGTACTTATCCAGGCTGATCAGCTCAGGGTCATCGGAGAACAGCAGAAACAGGTACTTCAGAGTCTCCCCGAGGAAGAAGCTCTCCATCTTGTCCCTGGGGCCGGGGTTTACTGGGTCACGCACATTTCCAATGGAGGTGTAGCCACCGCTGGGGACCTGCCGTAAAGAGCATTTGGACACACTATTACACTGGCTCCAGGGCAGTGACAATTATTTAAAAAAAAAGGCTAAACAATAAAAACGGACTTAACTGGACATTAACTAATCATGCACAGTCTTTCAAAGCTCCAAAAATATAAACAATAAAAAAGGGAACCTTGGCTTCACTAGAGCTAGCGGCCTCGTAGTCAGTGAGTGGTGCCTTGCCTGAAAGAGAATGCACTCAAAATAGCCTACTGTATAATGCAGTACAGTATCTAGTATACCGAAATGCAGTATGCATGTACTGTACTTCAGGGCAGGTTTGTGACCAGGTTCTACCAACATCAGGGGCTCAGTCAACTGGACCGATCCCAAGACCCACTTCATTTTCTTAGCCCATTATGGAGTGCAGTATATCACAAAGACAGCTCTGGCTGTGTAATTTAATAATTAACCATTTGTCATACTGGAGAAATTCATGTCAAATGCATACTGCATGCTACTTACTTGGCACAATCAGTATGTGAGCAGTATATATTAGGCTATAGTCTCAGTGAGAGTAGTGTCCTAGCTGAAGCAAGCTCAGTATGCAGTGCCCTGGCTGAAGCAATTGCCATAAATAGTGCACTAGCTGAAGTAGTGTTCGTGAGTAGTGCCCTATCTGAAATAGTTACAGTGAGTAGCGCCCTACCTGAAGTAACTGGTTGCGGTCGACTTCATTGCGGCCCTGCTGATTGCTTGTTACCTTCCTGGCAACATGGCTGCCTTTGTAATTTTGTAATTTTTACTTTACCATATAGTTTTTTCTCAACTATATGGTTCTCGAAAATAAATAAACAAACAAACAAACAAACAAACAAACAAACAAACAAACAAACAAACATCTCTCTGAAAGTGTGGCTCTAGCAGGTATTCTATGTGTGACTTTTTCCCCCATAACACCTTAACCCATCGCTCTAGACCAGGCATGTTAAACCAGGGACCTTCCAGGCCAAAGTGCTGCAGAGATTAGTGTTCACCCCCATCTACTGCTCTGAATTCAGTTCATGAAGGCAGTCATTGCAATAAATAGTGCACTAGCTGATGTAGTGTCCGTGAGTAGCCCTACCTAAAATAATTGGTTGCGGTGTACTTCATTGCGGCCCCGCCGATTGCTTGTTATGTTCCTGGCAACATGGTTGTAATTTTTATTTTATTCTATAACTATATGGTTCTCGTGGGTGGGTGGGTGTATGGATGGACGGACGGATGGATCGGACTGGATGGATGGATTGATATATAGATAGATAGATAACTAGCTGAAGTAGTCTTCATAAATAGTGCCCTAACTGAAGTACTTGCTATAAGCAGTTCACTGGCAGAAATAGTCTCACTGAGTAGTGTACTAGCTAGGGAGTAAAAGATGTAGGTTTAAGTTTAGACCTACCCTGGTGTACTTGTTGAAGCTCTGCAGTATCTCCCAGCCCCAGTCTCTGTATTTGCTGTCCTGGGTGAATCTGTACATGTAGAACAGACTCTCCACTGTCTCAGGCCGCAACAGGTTGTGTCTATCTGCAGGCTACAAATACATGAAAACATGTAAACTAGGACATAATATTTACCTAAGACAACGCAAAGACAATAAATGAAAGAATCCCGCAAAAGTCGACTGCAATAGTTTAGTTCAAATTTACACAGTATTCTCTGGTCCCCAAGAGACAAGACATGCCTGGTGTTTGCTCCTTTAGTCTGCAGTGGAGCTACTGCAACTAATAAGCAACGAATCAGCATCAATTAGTATAGCGCAAACGCAACACCTAAATCATCAGACTTGCCTCAAACCATGTAGAGTTAAGTCATTTTAAATATACTTGCTTATGAGAAATCTGACACACACACAGCTAAAAACAGTAGCAGCACCATCCCGTAGCCTGTACTTTTGCACATTTCTATAGACAACAGTATGTCACACAGAGTTACTCAACAACTTGATGTGGTTTGAGACAAGAGTGTGATGAATCAGGCATGCAGCGTGCACAGTGCTATTAAGTGTACATAAACTTCCATTGATTATTAGGCATATTAGCCTTATAGCTCCAGTGCAAAACCAGTTTTAACATAATTCTTCCTATCAGTGGTTATAGTAGAAACAGTTTTATGCTCTTAATGAAACTTAAAACGTGATGCTCAAGGTCTAAAGATGTGGCAGCAGGATAAAAACAGATTTGACTTAATCAGGGATGTTGTGTGTAAACAAAAATAAAAATATTATTTGCCTTGACGTCTACATCACGGCCGTTTTGGTTCTGCAGGTTGAAGTGGGCGATCTCGGGGCTCAGCCCCGTCTCCATCTGAACATACATCTGATGGCACGTCTCCATCAGCTGCGCGGCCAGATCCATGTGGTCAGCTGGAAGGCCATTATGGGCTCCCAGAGCCAACGTCCCTGGCAGAAAACACACCAAATGATCCTAGGACAGAGGAAAGGGAGAGAAGTGGAAAGCGAGCACAGAGATAAAACAAAACAGAAACAGGAGAGAGAGACAGAAAGAACACAGAAAGAGGGCGAGAATGAAAATGAAAAAAAAAAAAACAGATGCAAAGGTCAAAGTCATAGACAATCTAATCTCCATCAGTAATATCTATTTTCATCCTCATGAGCGAGCCAATTTCACTGGCTTCATTAAGCATATTGAATTTGAGGAAGGGGATTAAACAAACAGATGCCCTGCAACCAGCACCAGCCTATAGATTAACTCTGGACTTAAAGCCTGGACACGTGAGTGTTGTTTTTTCCACGTTTTTAATCTCTCACCATCTTGGGGTTGAGTCGTCCATGGGACAGCTCCCCAACAAAGACGAGTTTACTGGGCGATGTCTGTCCGAGGAGGTTTTTCTTGACCCCTTCCACAGCCTGAAGATAGTCCTCCAGTAGCCTAAACATACACACATACACATATATCTTACTCATAATGTCATTAAACAGCCTACGCACGTGTCAATATATTGGGTAAAATCTGCCTCCTAGAGGCATGATTGGGCTACTGCACCACAATAATCAAGGAAAGTACACCTGCTGTGCTTACATTCATTGGCCTTCAGGCACACCTGCCATATGGGTGCAACTGCAGGTTGACCACAACCCATTTGTTGCTATGATCAGCGTCAGCATCCCGCTTCATCATCAATACCACAATTGGAACACCACATGTTACAAGGGAGGCGGATCATTCTCAGCACAGCAGGTACACTGACATGGTCGTGGTACATTATAAGACACAGCAGTGTTTCTTGGATTTTCAAACACCTCAGTGTCACTGTTAGGTTTGAGAGTAGTACGCCAACCAAAAATATCCAGCCAACAGTGGTCATGTGGTCAGAAACTGATCAGGTGTTAGAGCACATGTGTCAGGCTCCAGTCCTCATGGGCCACAACACTGCAGACATCAGCACAATGCCTTATTCAGCTCATCAGCTAATTAGCAAAGCCTTCATGAACTGAATTCAGAGCATCAGATGAGGGTAAACGCTAATCTCCACAACACTTCAGCCCAAAAGGTCCCCAGTTTGACATGCCTGGGTTAGAGGATGACCAACACAACGATGACCAACTGCAAATGGGGAAAAAAAAATTAGCTATCATCTCTAACTGCACACCTACAAGGTGGACCGACAAGGTAAGAATATCTAATAAAGTGGCCAGCAGCTGCCTGACAAACTTGCACCAGGTATATACAAAATAATGTGTCAGTGTCACTGCTGTGCTCAGAGTGGTCTATCACCCAAAATAATATCTTGTCAGCAGTGGCACTATATATATATAAAGAACATTTATTTAACATAAAATTACACAGAATTACATTTTTTCAGTGCATTCACCTTTTTTTAGTGTGTCTTTATTACACCTTCCAATCTTTTTGGAAGACTTGCTTTCAGTTTTTCAAAGAAATCTGCAGGAATATTTTTCCACACATCCAAAGGTTTATCTGAACTTTGTCAGTCCGTAAAACTCCATGTCTCAGATGTCACTTTTTAGCGCAAATTAATAATTTGTAGTGCAAATGTTCTTCTTCGTTGTCTAATTTTTCTTCAGCAAGGGCTTCTTTACAGCTACACATCCTTTCACACTCATAGTGTTGAGCTGTCTTCTCACAGTGGAAGGATGGACAGAAACACCTGTGGATTTTTTTAAACCTGAAACAAGACTGGAGCTTGATTTTCTCCTCTCTCTCATAGATGATAGCTTTAAATACTGTTTATCTGATGTTGACCGTGTTGGTGATCTACCAGGTCTCACATGGCTGTTAGGAGTCCTATTCTCTTTTTATCTTTCGATACACTGTTGAACTCCACTTTTGGTAACTCCTGTTTTTTCCACTTATTGTCCTTTGAATTTCCTCTTCCTCATGTAAATAAACTATGTTATGTCTTATCTTTTCAGAAAAATCTCTTGAAAAATAAACAACTTGTGCATAATAGCGGACTTCTGCACTAACAAACTGGCATCTCCATAAACTACAGTTGTTTATCTGCTACACTTCTGTTATATAAGATATTTAACACTCTTACTTCCAATTCAGAAATCCCTGCCCACAGTGAAGCGGTGTTGCGCTTCTTACAGTTGCAGCTTAGGGACAACAGTCACAGTCGCTTACTAATATGGCTGTGAGCATGACCTTGACTTGGCTGCTTGTGGATCAGTGATTAGATCAATTCGAACCTAAATAGAAACCTCATGAAAAGGACAAAAACACATGTTCAGTGACTTGCAAAACATGAGGGTGATTTTCTTTGTCATGTCCATTAAAGCACTTGCTCTGCCTTCCTACTCAAATATTTCAAGGTGACTCCTCAAAAGAGCAGCGCAGATTCTGAGCAGCTTCCAGCAGTGAGCGAGTGTGATGTAAGCACGGGAGGGAGGACGATCAGGATCAGGTGTGAAGCAGCGAGGTGACACGCATGCAAATGTCTGGATCGCAGACAGACATACAAGACATAGCAGGCATTTCCAATTTCATTTCACTCTCAGCAGCACCACAGAGCTGAAGCTGCTGACAGTGCTGCACAGTCAGATTTGGGCTAAAGAGGAGGGAAGGGGCTGAGTCAATGCCTCCAGCGTTATTCAGTTATGTTTATCAGGCAACAAATCATCCTCATTTCACCATTATCTGTCTTTTGTGAAGATGATGGTTATCAAAAGTGAGAACAGAGTATTATGAAAGCAAATTTGATTTTTATATCTTAATTAAAAACACATTAGTTTAAGCTAGCATATAAAACAGCCATAGAGCAATAGATCAAAATAGTTTGTAATTGCATTGTTATTTCCTTTTGACCTCTAATGTTTCAGATATTTTGCTTTTATTCCTGTGTAACATAAATAAATAAATATCATTATAATCATTAACAGAATTTTTATAGTCTACATTTTTTGTATTTTATTTTTTTCCACTTATTACATTTGTGTGGTTTTATATATCAAACACAGTCACAATTCATTTGTATACGACTTATTTATGTTTATTCATTAAACAAGCCGCTCTTATTTTGCTATCTTGTAAATTAACTGAGTTCAACTGGCTGCCCTTTAAAGCAAACTGATAACTTTGACCTGAGGATACTGGAAAAAATAAACTCCTGTTGGATGTCTGGATCATTTGAAAAGCTACGAATGATGAATCTGATTTGTCCCAAGAACAGCAAAATGTTTTCCTCTCCAATAACTACTTACTGTCAATAACTAATAACGCTACAGACTGTCTGCGGTTATAACACTCCTCATCTCTTCCACGTGAATACATAGGCTACACTGCTGAAAAGCTGAATGTTATGTCATATGTAATGTGATGTCACAACCATGACGACTTCAAAAAGGGTTTTTTTTGCAGCTTAGCTTCTATATATCAACTGCTGAGTGAACAGTAAGTTTTTAAACTTTAACAAATTTACAGAGTCTACATCAAACTCTTATTGGAAAAAGCAAGAAGATTCCATTATATAGGCCCTTCAAACACAAACCAGCTTTTCATAGATGAGAAATGCAACTAATTTCCAAGAGATATGAAAGAAACTTACTCAGGCTCCTTCTTACCACCCTGCAGCCACTGCTTGAGCAGATATTCGTAGTAGCTGTCTGCGCGGGCTCCCAGGGTGAAAACCCCACGGTGGGTGAACTTCCCACTGTTCGTGTTGATGAACATGGGAACCAGGCCATCATGCTTCCCATCTAGCCTGTGGACTTGCCTCATTACCTCATCCACTGCTTTCTGGCCACAAACAACACACAGGGGAAGAAAGAGCACAGAACATTTTTAGATTATTTGTTCAGGGTACAAATCAATGTTTGTCCAGTATGGAGGTGGGTAATATGACGATCATACTGTGTCACAATATGCTTTTCTGACTATATTGTGGATACTTTCTGTACTTAAAGAACACTAAACAACTGCATGTTTCATTAGTATTAACTATTTTATTAATATTCTTCAGTATTTTGCATGTAATCTCCTATGCCAAGTTATGCTTTGCCTATGTACATAGTGTGCAGGTTCCTATGCCTTTCAATATTGGAGAGATGTCTCTGTTGAATTGACGCAGCCAGGCAACATATTTAGCAGGTGCAGCATCAGGTTTTTTTTCCCATTATAAACACAGCATAATTAGTCATGTTTAATTGGATTTAGTGTAGCACGGTATATAAAATGCTGAACAAAAAATAGTGTGCTCACTTTTGGATTGTACTTTTTAAATGTGACACTACTGGACTTTTTTTGACTGTTCCTACTAGGACCCTAACTATCAGATATTTTCATTTAAGGAAATTCATCATCCTCAAACTGCCCTGTAGTAACTGTCGATTACACACGGAAAACATGGCCAAACATAAAATGTCAATTTTGGTCTGCTTGTGCATTTTCCATTTTTTTGTTAAATATAGGAAATAAATCTGTGATCCTTGACTGTGGATTTAATCTTTTCATTTTTACAATATTTTACCGGAAGTAATTGATATGACAAGTTCTTTGACACATTTATAAGCCAACACTTGGTCTTTCATCCCGTATAGTCTTCCAAATATATAAAAAGAATAAAAATGAAATGATTTCATAACGACTCTATGTTTCACTTCTTGCACCTACTACAAGGTTGTGAACACATTGTGTATGACAAGAACCAAACAGCACCCCTGCTGGTTGTACCTGGTACTGCGGGTCCTGAGTGAGCCTGCTGAGCTCTCTGAACTCCAGCTGAATGCTGGTGACTTCAGCCACAGTGCTGTCAGTGGTCCAGCGCGGGGGGTGAGCAATACCTTTCCCAATGTTTACATCAGAGAAAGGGATTTTGGACGGCGTATTGAAGGCAGGCATTAATCTTGAGCCAATGTCTTTCTAAGAGAACAAAGAGATTAAGGAGAGCATTTAGAGACACTCCTGCAAAGCATTAAGGCTTTCAATTATTCAACCTTTAAATGACCCTAAAGAACTGAAAACCTTGTTTATATAAAACTCAAGACAAACTAACAAAAGGATTGAGCATTAATCTAGAGTCAGTGCCTTTTTAAGGCAACAAATGGATAAAGCAGGTTATGCATTTAGAGGTACTGCAGCGAAGCACTTAAGACATTCAAAATGACCCTACAGAACTGAAAACTTTGTTTTTAAATGCTGGAGGACCTGATCCCTTACTCCCTTCCAGGAAAGCTGCAACTAAAGAAACAATGACAGAAAGATAGAGTTGTATTTGGGCTACTGACAGCCTTGTCCAAGAACAGGGAGTCTCCTGTCAGGTGGTACGTGCCCAGGAGGCCTCCAAGAATTCGGATGGTGCTCTCAAAAAGATTCACATCCACGTTCTTAGAGAACGATAGCTCCTTCTCTACCCATCTCTTTGCCTCTTCAAACTCTGAGAAATAAGGAGAAAGAGGGAGAGCTAGATGGATTTCTGAGCCTAGAAAGACATACTGTTCATTACATGACTGACAGAAAGAGGCTGCAGCCGTCTTACCTTCTTTCAGGTCTAGAATCCACATGGTGTCGAGCGCATCTATTAGTGTAAGGCCCAAACCAAACCACTCTCCATGTGTCTTAGAGAGGGGCTTCAGCTCATCATGACCCCAAGCAAACGCTTTATAACCTTTCCACGCATGCCTGAACGCTTCCCTCACAGCCTCGGCCCGATCCACAGGCTTCACAGAGACTGAAAGAGAATAAAAACATACATTTAAAAAAATGAAGTTCGCTTCATTTATGATTGGTGTTATGATGCTTTCTGATTGAGGATAACTATATAACTTGGGATACACTGGGAATTTGCTGCAATCAAGCAAGTCTAGTATCTCAATTTCCCTGAGAACGACTGGGAGACACCCTTGAGTACCCTTGACCACAGGAAAAGACAATTGCTTCTGTCTGTTAATGCATCTCAGACTAGAGCTTAGAAAAATATTAGACTGAACCGACAGGACCTGACAATACATGACTGGCTTAGTGAGAATCAGACATCATCTCTGAAATACTCTATATAACTAAAAGCATCCAGACACCCCTTCTAATGAGTGAAATCAGCTACTTTAAGGTGAACCTCCTGCTGATACTTGCACAGCATGATCTCCATAAAACAATGCCCAGTGTTGGCTGAAGACACCCAGCACTGAGCTTACACAGCTTATTCCACCAAAACCGGCATCACATCCAACGGCAGGATGCGGATTCTGCGGGCTCCACTCGTAGTTTTTTCCTGCCGCAAACTGCAGATTTTTCCAGCGCAAATCCTCATGGATCGAGTTGATAAATATACAACTTCAGCGGAAAAGCTAGTCACCTGTCACTTTTCATGAGGTAACCAATCAAAAAAGAGGGTGGGACAAATGAAACTGGAGATTGAATGCAGAGCTGTACAGTAGGACAGTTTTGTTTGCATTTGCGGAATTTTTGCAGAATACGTTCCACCAACTGCCTCCTCACTGGGATCTATTTTCTTCACGGGGTGGAGCAAAAGTCAGGCCAGTATGGGCAGTTCTGATTTGAGGTGGTTTTGGAGGGAACGTATAGTTCAATAAACAGTTAAGATTAGCAGGTTAACTGCAATGCTTTTTTTTTGCAACTGTGAGCAACAAGCGACATTATGTTGACTGTGAAACGCCCAGCTCACCCTCTTGTTTTCTGCTGGCTGACGCTTCTGAGGTTTGCGTAAAGCTCATGAAGGGAAACTGAACGCTGCCAGAAGCAAATTCATTTTTTGCATCCCATTGAAGCTTTTTTGGCAGTTAAATTTTACTCGCATTCGGTGTGAATGAATTTGCAATCCCGACCTAATTATCCAACACCAGTGCTTGACCTCACTTATGCTCGTGTCTGAATGCAATCAAATTCTCACTGAAATGTTCCAAAATCTAGTGTAAAGTCTTTCCAGAAGAGTGGAAGCTGTTACTGCAGCAAAGGGGAGGTCAAACACCCTATAAACACCCTTGATTTAGGAAGAAATTTGGGGTCAGATGAGCAAGTTTGTCACAAATGTTTGGACGTACAGTGTTACATAGTAAGCTCTATCATTAGTAAGGCAGTTTTTTATTGTGGTACCTGAGAATCAGTTTAAAATCAGGTTCGGAATCTGAACTTGGTGCTGTGGGTCAGGTCAAACTTGAGTAGAATCTCACTTGGCTATAATCAAATTTTCAGGTCCGGAAAAAAGCATAGTCCGGACTGCTTAAGTGCACCTTTGGATTGTGCATGGAGGTTGGATTCCTACCTGGCTGTAAAGGAGCAGCACCTTCCACCTCAGCAGGCTCTGCTCCCTCTTTTGCATGAGCTGAGGGCTGTGGCTCAGTGCCTTGTTCCGCTTCAATCATGGCCCCTCGCCAGCTGAGAGAACAGAGACAAATGAATGAACCAGAGACAAAGTGATTTCAATTAAAACAACACAAAATTGTACAGGTCTTCAAATAAGCAGAAAAAAGCATTTTTCAGACTATAGGACTAGGAGACCAAAGATGAGGGGCATTAATAGGAGGCTTCTTCTTGGCCGGTTCTCAACAGACGGACAAACTGCTTAATCCAATTCACGACCCTGAAAATCAATTTATAACTTTACTTAGTAGCTCCACTTTACAGGGCTAGCACATTACTCATTTGCTTAATGGATTTTAATGCGCTTTTATGCCTAAGTGAAGTAAGAGAGGTGAATGCAGAACTATTCCAGCAGAGAAATACGTTCTGAATATGAGGAGTATGTTTTGCATCAAGTTGTGAGAAACACCATTTGAGCAGTGCTCTTTTTAAATGCGCAATACTAATGGCATACAAACGGAAATACAAGTCTTATCTCTGCACAATCATATCCCTCATAGTGGTTCAGAAGAATAAGGTCTACACACAAATCCAAGATGTGTCTGACATTAAGCCGTGTCTTACTCCACCTCACTCAAGGTCTCTTCATAACTGGAGTGATTAACAGCCTCATATGTGGTGGTGGCTGCTGCACTAATGTATTGAAGTCATACCTAATGACTGTCTTTGTTTCTTTCTCCTGATCTTCATCTCTTCTGATAGCTGGCTCTTCTCTGTCCTTCACCTGCCAGTCTGACACATTGCCTCTTTTCTGCAGGGCTGGAGGACCACGCTTACTTGGAGGCTTCTTCTGCAGATGAGGAGTCAAAAAACAGACCAACATCATACATACTGGATTAGCTTCACATAAGCACTTGTGCAGTAGTTTTTATGCGGCTGTGGGAAGCTTGGAGTCATCTTGCCTTGCCTGAGTAACATTTGCTTTTCACTGTTACTTTTCAAGTAATGGAGAAAAAGCCCTCTCTGTTTAATGCTTATCAAATTCTCTTCCATGGGTTGAAGAGCAGGTTTTACCTAAATAATGATTTGACATTCTTTTCAAAATTACTGAGTGCGTTTACATGCACTCAATACTCCGATCATAATCAGATTTGTTTTCTTCAGCTATCTGAGTATTCAAATGGTTACATAAACAGCATACTCAGATTTCTTAGACCAATTAAGATATCCGATAAAGAGAGCTGGATTTTAGCTCTGTAATCAGATTTCTCAGTGCATGTAAACTCTTACTCTGATTTCTATCAGATTTCTCAGTCTGCACATGTGCAAAAACAAACCGCAGTACCGAAAATAAGCAAGATGGCAACAAAACACTTTTGGTGAGATGCTGAAACCAACTACGAGCTTGATAAAATGAAGGATTTAAATATTCTTGATGATGATGTATGTTCATATTTTCAGGTAAAGTGGTGTTCTGTTTTTAAAAAATAGGCCACAGCATGAAGTTTGAGTTTTATATTACGTTTATTGGCTGGTTGCAAAGCAGAAATCCAATTACTGCCTGACTCAGAGACCCGGAGTTTCCCCATTATCTGATAACTCAAGTGCAGGTAAACGTGATGATCGGATTACTGACAAAGTCTGATTTTCTGCAGTTATCGGATTATTAAGTGCATGTAAACACACTCATTGTTAAAAGTATATTTATAAAATGGATAGCTCAGGTTCCGGTTGATTGACTGAGATAGGTTTAAAGCTGCTGTAAAATACTTAATATATACAGACAGGACCACACATGAAAAGTGAATATTGTATTAATACAGAAAACCATTAAAAAGACTTTGTATTATTTATGGAATAATCTTTGATCATTATGTTGCTTGGCAATCACCTACTGTTAATAACTACACTGCTTTGCAGCAGAATTCCACTTATTAATAACGAATATTAAACACTACACTATGTAAGATTTGAGGATTTTGAGACCATTCTGGTGTAAACATGTGATTGTACTAAATATGTGGAAAAACATTTTGTAACGTCGGCTGTGATTTAGACCCCTTCCCCAAAGAGAGAGAATCCGATGATTACAATTGTGTTGAGTGTTCAAAGAGTTCAAAGAAGCCAAAACTTGGTGAAGGATGTGCCTTTCAAGGATGTGAGTGAATTATCTATTACTCTCATCATATCTTCTTCAGTATAATGTTGATTTTACAATTAAGACAAACATCGAGCCGGACCCTCTTTTGAGCCTGTGCATGTGATGTTAATACATGATGGAGTCAGCCTGTGCAATCCGACTGGACACCTCTGATTTTTAAATAATTATTATTCAGGCTTTACAGGGAACTTTGCAGCAGCACACACACCATATTTCAGTAATGCTGCTTCTTTCAATTTAAACAAAACCAACCCTGAATAGTGCAGCTTTAATAAACTAAGAAGTATTTTATCATACTGTATTTTGTCATGGCGTTCACCACCTAACTGATTTAAACACCTTAAAAGGTTTAAATGCTGATTAGTGCTGACATCACAACAAGACAATAGAATGTGTAGGGTGTTATTCACAAAATAATAGTTTTGCCTGCTGCTTTCACTTTTGCTGTCTTAGTAAAGAAAACAGCTTTCCATTTTAATATGTTCAGTTACTGCACACAAACAAAGAAAACAAGCTCATTACATTAAAAATATCTAGATGGGTGTCCACACTCAGATTCTGGAGTGTTCCTGGATAGCGTGGTACTTACCAAGCCTTGAGGTTTGGGCAGGAGGGGGACGTTCGGCCTTTGTGGCTCTGGAGGCTCCTCCTGTACAACCCCAGGGACGACCTTTGGGACGAGACCAGGAGGAATGGGCTGGAGGCCTTGGTGCTCCCTTTCATCCCAGCCCTCCTTCACTGCCCCGTCAGAGAGTGCTGAAGAACATGGAAAGAAAAGAGAGAGAGAGAGAGCGCAATTCATTTAGGGAATAAGAAGTCTTAATTACCCTCTCGAGAACAGCCACCTTATGTTCAGGACACTGCAGCAGACAGTGCATGTAAGAACTACAACAGCTAAGAACAATACAGCGTGAGACATACTGCACTGTTAATATCACAAATACAGCGCTGTGCAAAAGTTTTAGGCCAATCAAGTTGTTATAAACTCTTTATCTGGGACATTGTGGTTTTTGCTTATGAAAAATATGAATCATTAGAATAGATAAAAGTAAGCATTGGTATAAAAAAGCAATTATAATTTCTTGTTTACTAAAATGGACGGTTAAAAAGACCTAGGTTTGGTTCCTCTTCTCCTCAGTGTACCACTGACATTACCTGGATCTGTTTCCAACACCAGCACACTTGAGTTAACTTTATGAAATATTCATTCATATCCAACAACTAAATTCAGTATAATAAGGAACAGTATCACACAGCTTGTTATGGATAGTTATACCTTGGATGAACATCTAACAATTCTCATTTGAATTTTAAAAATTAATTAAGTTTTTATTGTTATGTTAAAAACAGTAGTCCTGTGTAACCAAAGAAAAATAGATTTTATATGATTTTATATGATAAAAAAAATGTTTAAGTCTAACTGTTTGACCGATTTTTGAGAAAAAAACAAAGATTTGAGCTCGGGCAATCTCAGAAAACATACACACCAAAGGACATTTCAGATTTGGACATATACAAACACTGAACTGCCAAAAACATAGGTTTTGAAATCATTAAACTAAAAAAGCTGACAGATGTAAAATCAAAATTTACTTTATTAATGTTTCCTTGTATTAATTTGAATGTTCAGTTTTTATAAGCAAACAGATTGATAGCTTTACTGCTCACACAGATAGCTTTAACTTTTATATTCAGAACTAGCCTTGGTCTTTTATGTCTACAGTATTTCATAAATACTCTAGCATATTTCTAGTCTGAAACATTTAAGAGCACAGGACAAGATACAAAGGACACCTCTCCACTGCTCCGAGAGGCTGGGGTAAGAGAAGATTCCACAGATGAGCAGGAAGGCCAGCAGGAACAGGATCAGACTGCGTTGCAGTCGAGACAACTGCTTCCATCTCTGAAAAGAAAAGCACAGACATATAAATATATGGAATGAACCCAAGATTCACACTATATATTACATTTCCTTTCACTGTCCATCATGATTACGTACAATAATTCTGCTACAACATCTTTAAGGCATCGCTGACTGTGCACATCAGGGGCAATAACACACTGAACGAGTACCACATCCATATTGACTAAGACTTGAGTTAGGAACAATTACTACCGTCATAAGATGAGAGATTATTTTAACATAAGAGGCAATCAGCTGTCTAGACATGCACTCAGAAAGATGGATGCACAACTGTAATCAGCAGAAATGCACAGAGAAGTGAGGGCAACAGGGTGAATCGACGTTCACCTGGAGAGAGACTCAGCAGAGATTATCCTCATAGTCATATAATAACACATAATAATGGACCAGCAGGAAGGCTAATTTGAGCTATTTAGTCAGATAATTATGAATCTTACGTAAGATGTGCTGGAGTGTCTTACTGAGCAGGTTTCTGGCCTAAAACTAGCATTTAATATGTTATTTGTCAGGTTATGTGATACACTGTAGTGCAGCACTGCATCTCTCAGTATCATTGGTTTGTAATAACTTGTGATTTAATATCAGTTTTGCGTCCTTATTGTGTTTTCATTAATGTTCTCTCACTACAATACCCAGCACTCACTGCAGTAATACATCACACAGACATTGGAACCGCCCCTCACTCAGGTAGAGGCAAATAACAACAGATGTGATACTCGGCTTTCTAGCGGTAATGTTAGCTATCTGACTTGCGAGGAGGGAAAACAGCCTTCCCTCATGTATCCATTCCAAAGTGCATGTAGTTTTTCAAAAGTTCCTCCCACCTTCAAGATACAGAAGTGGGTTGTCTTAATCTTTAAACTGGAAAATATTACTATTGTGGCACCACAACACACACGTAGCAATGGTTTTCATTTTGGCCAAAGGGTTTCTATAAGTAAGACACGAACACAGAACACACAGCCGTATGGGACTTTAAAGACACTGGCAAGGAAACAAAACAGCAACTCTCCAAGTGACTCACTCTTATCAGCTTGGGAGTGCATACGCAGGCCCTTCCATGTTTTTGCCCAGCCACGATGGGACATGCAGGTTCACTACATACACAATCAAAGCTTTTCTTGTGGATAGTGGCATTGGGGAATGTGTACGCTACAAGTTTTCTTTACCAGCTACTGCACACATCAGTCTAGTCAATCTTGGTATGTGTTACAAGACTGAAGACACATTATATGTCCACTATATTACATTTACCATAAGCGCTGCCTGTGCAGGGCGAGGAACATAATCAAGGATGTTTCTCATCGTAACCATGGACTTTTTACCCTCCTCCCATCTGGCAGGCGTTACAGGAGCCCCCGCTCCCAAACCAACAGGCTCAGAAAGAGCTTCTTACCTGAGGCCGTGACCCTGCTGAACTCCTCACTGGCACTTTAACTGCATCTTTGCACTCACTGCACTGTTACTGTACTTTATGTTCTAGCATTATTGCACTATTCATATTTGTACAGTCTATTACTACACTATTCATGTTTGCACAGACAGTTAGTGCACTTTTTTTTACTCTATGTACTTATTATTTTACATATGCTGCTCTGACAGTACATACTACCTACATTTGCATTCTCTCCACTTACCCTGTATATATGTATATTTGCAACATCTATATTTTGTACCACTCTACCATCCTTATTTGTACACACTGTAACTGTCAATTGTCAGTTACATCAATTGTCTGTCTTGCGCTTTATATATAAATAATACTGTATTTTGCACTTCTGGTTAGATGCTAACTGCATTGGCTCTGGACCTGTACTCTGCACAATGACAAAGTTGAATCTAATCTAATCTAATCTAATCTAAAGTATGTGAATCTAATAAGAAGGGTAACATTATGGTAAATTTCCCAGACAGAGATTAAGCCTAATCTTGGACTACACATTCTAATTCTGAGAGATTTTCCACCAAAAGGAAAATATAAACTTACAGTTCTAGACATAAAGATTCATAAACGGTTCTCAGCTTAAATGTACAATTCAAAAAAAACATTCGTAAAAACTTTGGTGCAGACACATCTATGGGAGATTCTGGACTCACGTTAGACAACGCTCTCCAGAACCATCATCAAATCGCCAATTGAGGGAATATCGTTTGGAAGAATGGTGTTCCATCACGCTAGTACAGTTCCAGAGACTTGTAGAATCTATACCAAGGTGCACTGGAGCGGTTCTGGCAGCCCAACACCTTACCCAGACACTTTGTGTTGGTTTCTCCTTTGCTACCTGCCTGTACAGTAGTTTTTTTAACCTTCAGAAAAGGTTCTTTATGCTCGCACTCCCAAGAACTATCCAGTAACATGTTCTTTAAGGTTCTTCGAACAGCATATCTGCTCATAACATGTTGAAATACTCGAGTACATGGTACGAATTAATCTTAACAATCAGCAAGCCTTCATCATTCTATAAAAACATGCCACCTTGGTGGTCTAAATAAGTGGTTCCCAATTCCAGTCCTGGGCACGTCCTGTCCTGCACAGTTTCAACTACTCCCTGCCTGAACACATCTAATCCAGCTCACAAAGGGCTTGATAATTAGCTGATGAGCTGGATCAGGTGTGCCGGGGCAGGGATTACTTGTAAATTTGTGAGGCAGGAGGTCCCCACGAACAGTGTTGAGAACCACTGGTCTAAGGGATGCCTGGGTTAGACGTAAAGAAGTTATCACACTGACCCTCCAACACGACTGCCTCCGGTGCTTCCCGTTTGTGTAGCTGCGGCTATGCTGCTCTCCCAGCGTCAGAGAGACAAAGTCCTTCCTCAGGGGCGAGTACATCCTTCATACAGAACCCAGAGCTTAGATACTGAGCCTGATAAAGGAAAGAGGAAGAGAGAGAGAGAGGGAGATGGGTATAGAAAACAAAAGAGTGAGACACGCCCGCGTGTATTTCCTCACAGATGCTGAGCTCCTAATAAAGAAAGCAGATCGACGATCGTTGCTACAGCAACGCAACACTTTGCAGGCCCCTAATGAGAATTGAGGTGCAGAGCAAAAACAAATCTGTCTTTGAGATTAATTACCACCTCCTATACACTGAGACGGAGACGGCAGAGGTGCTAGAGGCCACAGATGTAACTGTACTGTTCCCATATAAAAGAGGCGAGGATACTGTCCAACATTGGTCAGGGTAATATGAGAGAGATTTAAAGTGCCACAATAAGACCATCTCCTTCGTATTTATCCTGCTCTCTTTCATAGCTACCTGAGCTTATTGGATTTGCAATGGATTTATTAACTCATGGCCAGCCAGCAGTGTCAGACTGTGTTATCAAGATGTGATCATTGAGATGATGAGTGTTTGAGAGAAAAGACTGCTATGATTCTAGTTATATATGTCTGTGGTTTGGTCAGTTTGAAGACAGTGAGGCACGAAGGGTTAGTCAAAGTCATTCTAATGGACAGTGGCCTTAGGGATTATGGACCCTACATAATTTCGATGTCGGATAATGTTACTCGTCATATCATGTACTGAGAGAAAGGGCAGTGGTCTTCTTTCCAAGGCCAGACATACAATGTATTTCCAAAGGATCTTCTCCCAAAATCAAGAGTATTAAAACAGAGTTTGGCCCCCTTTAGCGAAGTGAGGGCCTCTACTCTTCTGAAAAGACTTTACATTATATGTTGGAACATTGCTGTGAAGATTTGATTGCATTCAGCCACAGGAGCATTAGTGAGGTCAGGTGCTGATGTTGGATGATTAGTTCTCGATCACTCCAACTCTTTGCAGGGGTACTGGATGGAGCTCCAACACTCCACAGCCCAATGCTGGGGGCTTTATACTCTACACCTCTCTAGCCGACACTTGACACTGAACATGGTAACCTGTGTGATCTGTGCTGCTGCTCCAGTGCGTCCCATTCAAAAGATCGACTCATCATTTTGCTTGCCAACCTTCCTCCACCTCTTCCTTCCTCATCCGGACAGTGAAGATGTGGGTCAGCTGGGGAGATGGTCAGGAGCTGAGCTGAAATCTTACCTTTCTCTGTTTTCTCTGAACGCCTTGTTAATCCTGTTACGTCCAGCGGATGTCTGAACACAACGACGAGTGGACTGAGGCGACTAAGGTTACCTAACCCTACTACAGCCAGGTCATTGTGCTCGGCGGTCATTAACCCAGATGGCCAGCAAACCCACCGAGGGTGTGCACGACAGAGCAGAACAGCTAGCTAGCATAGCATGACCAGCATCTCTGTTATGTGTCCATTTGCGAGCTGAGAGAGCCCCTCGGACGCTTCAGGACGTGTTTTTATCCTAATCCAGTAAAGAGAAACGCACTGTCTGTGTGAGAATCCGGAGAAAGCCACCTGCATGTTAGTGTTTACGGGCAGCCCTGCCTGACCACGCCACATGACCGCGCACGGATGACGTCACCTTCCTGTCCATTTAAAGGGGAATCCCACTGATTTTCTTTTTTAATTTCTGCATAATTCAGTGGTTGAGATGTAAACGCTGCCACTCAGAGTGGTTTGACGTGAAATGGTTCACTGTAGAGAAACTTACCCACTCAGATTTCTTTACAGTGGTGGTGATCGGAACCAGGCGTCGCCATGTATACAAACACATAAATAGCCCTTTTATTTACTTTCCAAAAGCACCAGTGGACCTACACGTGTCGTCTGAGTTAATATGTAATGTTGATGATGGTGAAATAGTGCTGAATCTGAAAAAAAGGGGACTATTTTGCCCTAGAACACAGTTTTGTATCCTTCCACCATGAATGGATTCAAATAAACTGATTAAAATACGTTTCAGGCCAAAAACTGCTGTCAAACAATGTCTCAGACATCAGGAAATTCAGAACCATCTCATGTAATAACTTTCTGAACAGGTCTGACTTGGCAAGTTTCTCAAGAACAGAGCATTTTGGACCAAACCATGAATGGAGTTCGCCTTCAACACTTTCCTATCCATTTAACTCCACAGTAATAAAGAGTGACAGTATTTTATCTTTTAATTATTTAAGACTGCAAAAATATAGCTTGAACAAAAATATGGCTTCAAAAATATGAGCTAATCCTTGCACAGTACACCTTACAATATTATACTATATGCTGTATAGTTTTAGATCCTTATAATTTCATGGTCGCCTCACAGGAAGAAGAGGCTGGGTTCGATTCCCCGGCCGGGTGATCAGGGTCCTTTCTGCGTGGAGTTTGCATGTTCTCCCCGTGTCTGCTTGGGTTTCCTCCCACAGTCCAAAGACATGCAGTCTGGCCAATTAGAGATATAGAGATACAATTAGAGACACTAAATTGTCCCTAGGCGTGAGTGTAATTTCAGTGTCTCTCTGTCTTCCCTGTGATGGATTGGTGACCTGTCAGAGGTTGTTTCCCATCTTCCAATGAGCTCCAACAGCTCCCATGACCCAGGAGGATAAATGGTTTAGATGATGAGTGAGTGAAGAAAACACCTTGTTGGGATCCTGATTAAATACTTTGACACTCGAATAAAAATAAAAGAACACTTAAAAAATACAAAATGATGCAGTAATAATTTCAAATGATATGTATTGGTATTTTTTATATTGCCGGGATAATTTCATGGTTATTTTAATTGTAATAAATAATGAAACATCTGGTTGAGACAGAGATTTTACAGTTTGTTATCTGAGTGCAAAAACAGAAAAATATGCCTCTTTTTTAATTTCAAACATCGTTCAAAATTGTATATATTTTTATATACTTAAAACACTTTCATAGTTATTTTGAATAGGAAAACAACTGCTTGTGATATAGATAGTATACTTATACTTATAGTCTGTCCTGAATCTATAAAACAACCCTTTTAATGATGTTTATCTTTATAGTGGCATTTCATACAAAAAGGAAACACCTTCAATCAGCTGGGATACTGATTACTATTAGACCACCCCTCATTCACCTGTCCTTTAAACACAGGCTTTTCCTTAGAGCTGTACTGTGTGCACGTTTGTAGTATATTAATGTGTCTGTATTACACTTCGTCCATTTATTTCCACCCAATAGGTAATACAATTATGAGAGATACTGAAGTCGCATAGGGGCTTTATTCCTCATATATAGTTAACACAAATTCACGAGTCATGATAGTTTGTAGAAGCAATTTTTATAAACATCTGTGTTTTAACAGTACAAAACTGCTGAGCACAATACACAAATATAAGGTAATATGCATTCGTTCTTCCTAGAGCCTATATTCAAAACAGATGACCAGCATATGATTTCAAATGTCACCACATAATTACATAGAAAGTACAGCATACGAAAAGAAACAAAAATGTATTTCTTATGCAAGCCAAGGAATCTTTAATTCAGCCACATAAGTTAAAATAATCTGATAATAACATACAACTAGCTTCGTTGAAGAGGATGGAGTTGTGCTGATTTTGCTACTGGACTTCTTTTTGCAGGTTCATGCAGGCACTAATGAGTCCCCCAGAATTCTGTGATGTTCAGTGACACTAAACATATCTTTTACTGGTGTAAATTTTTATAAAGAAGGATGACATGAGAGGGATTTCAACTGTGCTGAACTGTATTTTCAGACACACGCCTCAATATAAGTGCTCCCTGAGACCTACCAAATCAGCAACTGTTCAGAAAAGGAAAAAGAGTGACATATTTTACATTGTTTACTATGAACTTGTACTGTTTTTATTTGTCATCAAGAACCGTGAAATACTTTTAAAATTAAGCAAGTAAAGTCTGTTTTTTTTCTCTCTGGACTAGACAACAAATCAGGAGCTTGAGTGCATTACAGTACAATAAGTTGCAAGCATAAATGGTCACATGTATTTTGAAGGCACCAAATATGGCATTAAATGCACAGTAGTTCCATTATTCCCAGTCAGTATATTGAACCTGAGACCTTAATGAAGAAGGAAAATCTATTAAAACTTGTTGCTGAGGCTACTGTAGAGGTGCAACAGTAACAGAATAAAAAAAATAACAATAATGCCTAAAATCGCCCACAAACTGCTCACCAGTGTAGGCGGTAACGCGGTACAAAGTAACACCTTACAGTAATGTAACTACTTTTTCCTGTAACAATGTACCATAATACATTACTGTTTAAGTTAATGTAATCACATCAGTTACTGGCTTAATAAGAATGCTGTTATTTTTATCTCTCTAAGAGAACAATATTAGTTACACATAATGCTTTCAAAAATTTCCTCTATATAGATTATTTGCACCTGTCCTTGTATGTCATTTGTACATGTGTGCTACCTACAACAGCTGACTGCAAATATGAGTGGTATAAAGGCAGCAAACAATGAGCCGAAGCATCTAATCACTCGAATATGAAACTGGTGGATTAAGATCACTGTATTGAGGAAAGAGCAAGCCCCCCCCCCACAAAGAGACAAGGCCTTGATTTTCATTAAGACACAGTAACTTTACATTTTAGTCTTATAAAAGTGAAAAAGTAAAAAAAAACTGTTGTATTTTCTCTTGTACTTTCCAGTTGGTACAGATGTGTGGGCTTTAGAGAGTACCACAGATGTAACGTAATAAGTGGTGAGATTACTTTTTCCAGAAAGTAATAATCACAGTTTGAGAGTCATTTGTAATTGATTACTTTTTTTTGAGTAACTACCCCCCAATACTGGTGCTTGTATGTTCATAAACATGTGCAGCCCACCTTCACACTCAAATGTTAAAGCTGTAACTCACATCTGGAAATGGACTCTAATATACACTGTAAGACATACAGAATGCTGAGCACTCTGAAGGGAAAAAAGACTAAATTGGGTTATTTTCTCTGCAAAAATCTTCCTGTAACCTCATTTGAAGGTGAGGCTGAAGCCGTGTTCCCATGAGAACACATTGTTAACACTTTTTCAGAAAAGAAAAAACAAATAATCGTTCCACACATTTTCTATTCTTATTATTTTTGTGATTCTAAGACTGTCTATTAAAAGATGTGGATTATACTTTCAGGTTGAGTACAGTTGGACTTTGCAACCACATAGTGGCTACATTAAGACCCTGTCTTTGCAATTGGCTACGGAGGCTGTTTCCCACAGATAGATCCTCCTCTCATTACAAGTCCAGCTGAGGGAATAAACCAGAAATAAACTAAATGACACAACAAAAAAGCCAACTCCTATAATAATAACACAGTATATAAATTACAAAACCAAATGTCTTTGTAAACATACACCACGATTCATTTGGTAAGGAGCACCAGTAAAAAAGTGCCTTTTTTTAAGGAGTCATTAACACGTGATGAGGATTATAAAGAGCCCGTCCTGAGGTACAGCCGCAGGTCCTTCCATCCTCATGCTATCCAGTTCTCTTCCGGCTTCTGTTGTTGCCTGGCTTCTGCGTGTGAAGTTATACGCCTCAAAGCATTCTCTGACAGTCAGACTCTAGCTGAAGCACACGGGTCCCACTGTGAATCCAAACTCTTCTGAAAGGCTGCTGTTGGCAAACACTGCAACGTCTCGGAGAGGGAGCAGGTCTTTGTCTTCAAACTGAAGCACAGACTCCCGAGGTCCAGGATCTACCTCCTTGGCAGGCTGAAACACCAAATATTCATATTAAAGTTAATATCACAGTGATGCAAAATGTACACTTACATATTAAATACAATTTTATACATAATTAGTATAATAAATTAAGTTTACATTTAACAATTAAAATAAAATGCAGAGTATTTTACCTCTAAATTTGATTTTGATTCCTTTTTATTTTTAGAAAAAGAGTTCTACATAGCATTAAAAAAGGGTTCTTTGATGAAAAACAATAGTGGAACCTATTTTGGCATTATGTAGTCATTTTTAAAAGGGTTCTTTATAGAACCAAGGACCAGTTTTTCCGTCATGAAGAAGAACCATTTTACCATGCAAAGAACCATTTATGCAAGTGGTTCATTAAGTGTGTATTGTTCTATATAGAACCACTGCCTTCACTAAAGAACCCTTGAAGAACCCTTTTTAAGAGGAATTCAGTGCATAAAACAATCTCAAATTTTACTATTTTTTATATTTTGGTCAAATAACTTATGCATTTTTATACCCCTGCTGTTGGGTAATCAATGTTTTTTCCCTAATGTAGTCATGGCCAATTCCTATTCTCTAGCTAGGTTTCCCTTATCATGTGATGCTACCAAGCTGGGAGGGTGACGGCTAAGCACGTACATCCTCCAAGACACATGAAGCATCACCACATCTTTTCAAGCTACAGCTAATGCAACATCCTTGAACAGCTCAACACACTTAGAGGAGAACATAACTGCCAATTCTGTGACATCAGCAAACAGATACCAGCAGAGAGGCCAATTATGCTGACTTGCACTCCCAGCCATGAATGGCTAACCTGGAATTTCTACAGTAAATCTGATTTAACAGACTTGCTGCTGATCATTTCAACACTGACGATAAAATTGTAAAGAATCTCATACCACACAGTCCTGCACGGCCCCCAAGTAGCTTTGCCTCAAAGAGTCAGTGAGAAACTTGACCTGTCGTTGTGCCTGACCCAGTCTGTGTCCGGGGTAGCAGGAGTAGGTCACTCTCTGCTCGGCCAGGTTGCTCTGAAGTCTCAGGAAGCGAACCTGGACCACAGTGAGCCCTGGATATTCAAACTGACCAGAAGATAAAGAATTATGAGGCAGTCTTATATTCAGCAGAGATTTACGCTCTCCAGACTGAAAAAATACTCAAATGCATTTCTTCTTATATACGCATCCAACTGCCTTAATGACAGCGCTAATCCTGTCAGGTAAGGATTACACTTTGGAGATAATTCCTGTCTATTTTAGCCCACTCTTCCACTGACTTTACGCTTCAAAGTCCAAGCAGAACACAACACTGACATTCCTGCATTCCAGCAGGACAAATGTAGGGTGTCTGTTTATGACAGGCTCAACCGACATCATGGAACACTGGAATACTTTAACTGACCAACAAAATCACCAGACCCCAATCTCAATTCTCAAAAAAGATGTATCTGAAGAGACTGGTGTACTCATTACCTAACAGGACTACTATTATTATAAAGGCTGCTTAACCAGCCTTAATAATAATCGTTATAAGTTATACTTATTAAGGGACACTTTTAAGGTAAACCTTTCACTGGGTATTGGGTTAATTCTAAGGGGTCCATCTTCTTTGTCTTTCTCATTGTTTCTCATCAGCGATTGGTTTGCAGGACAGGCCGCACCTCTGTGATTGGGTCCAGGTGTGACTAGAGATCTTGTATTTATTTGCTTCTATGTCTTTGTGTAGCACTGATGAAAGTCTCTTAACTGAATCGTTTGCTGCCTTGTTATTGTCTCACTTGTGCACCTATGTCTGGCAAACAAAGAAGAACTAAGGTCTAAACTGAGGTCCCTTTTTGCTGTGCGAGTGGTTTGCTCACTTTTGACGTGTTAGTTATAATACAGACATCAGTAATGAAAAATAGTATTTATAAAATTTCCCTACCTGAAAACCACTCTGAAGGGAACTGAGCCAGTAGAAAGAACTATTTGTCACAGAATCATTCAGCCATGCTTTCATAGGGAGCTGCGGAGAAGGATAATTATAGTTTAGACTTCTTTTGATTCCCCAGAAGATCAATAATAAGATCACCTTAAAGTCTGTGTGAAATGTGAAGTAGTCACCTGTGCAGTTCTAGGGTGGAGACACGTTTCTGCCTTTGACTCAGAGAAGTTGCAGTAAGCCAAAAGAGCATCTGCAGGACTGCCTTGATTTGGGTCAATATAATAGAACCCTGCAATAAGAACAAGTTTTACATTAGTTTTACATTTTATTTCAAACTACTTAAAATGGTTGCTGTTTATCTATGCACATAAAGCATAATATATTTTTTTATATCAACGCAATTGCTAGCAGCTCTGTTTAACCTAATGCAGGTACTGGACTCACGCTGAAAGCTTTTAAGTGACTTTGTGCTTAGTAAAAAAAACTGAAACACTGATTTTTTTCCTTGCCAAAGCTGAAGTAAAGCATGAGGTTTCTGACCACTGGTGTAGTTGGGCTGGCCCAGCAATAGCTCCAGGCAAGTAGTGGCTGGGTGCTCCTTGCTGCCATCAGGTGGATCCTGCAGCAGCCTCAGGTCATGGAACAGAGAGTCCAGGAGAACCTGAATCAGTGAGTAGTTGGGCTTGTCTGAAACATACATCAGATCCTGTCGGAAAGCAGTGCAGAGGTGGAGAGATGGAGAGAATTAGATCAAAATCTAATAAAAATACTGATTCTGAGGCTTTCAGCCTTCATCTATAGTGAATAAAAGACAACAAAAAATAGTCTTTCTGAAAAAAAAAACAGGACGTCTGATATGCCACACATTAAAGGCTTAACTCACAATATAGAGAAATACGCAAAAATAAATGACTTGCTTTAATTTGATTCATAGTAAGATTCACAGAGAGGCCTGGAGGTCCTGGAGGTCCAGATGGTCCCTAAAGCAAGCAAAAGAGACACGCATAGAGGCAGCAGAGAGATAAGAAGTGAATTAACATCATCAAAATTCCTTTAATCTATCCTTCAAAAAGATGTCTTGAAATGGTTAATTTTCCAAAGAATCCTTTCCAATCCAGAGCCTGCGCTTTTGCCAGTGCCATGAAATGCCAGTCGTAAACATCTCATTTACCCTATTTCAATCTAAAAAAAAGTTTTAAAACACTCAAATCCATGTAACGTTGAGTTCTCTTAGCAAAAGAATAGAAAACCCAATTTGGGTGCTCAAGCTTTTAGCATTTACTGTTTAAGTAATCATTCTTGAGCTAACAACGTCAGTCTAATTTATCTATATTAAATAACATATATTAAATACATTACTCATGAAATCTATGGTCGTAAAGCACTTACTGGAAGGCCTCTCTTTCCAGCTGGCCCAGGAGCTCCCTGAAACCCCTTCAGACCCTGGAAATACAACTATGAGGTCAGAATGCAAAATTAAACAGAACTCATCTTTTCTAAGACATTTATCATGATGGATGCTGTCTTCCTGAGGTAACTCTGGTAGCTTTGAGATAAGAACTTTTTTCCCTGCTTTATTTCTCATTTTAGAACTTATTAATATTTCAATGTCATACCTTTTCTCCAAACAAACCCTGCAGAGAGGGAGAGATAAAACTGCATTAATACATTTCATGCTATTTTCAACCTCTTTGAGGCTCTGCTGGGCAATGATAAACTCTTTCACTGTCCTTGTTTGTTTCATTAAAATGCATTATCTGTGCTTTTAATCCATAATTTAAAGGATGGCTTGCTGCAATTAGCCCACATCTGCATAGAAAATATATTTTGGATGTGCTAGAACATATTTTTCAAGTAAATGGACTGCTAATTGAACAGTTTCTGAAGCTCATTTCCAGTTTAGTTATTACACATCAATTTTTTTTTCTTATAAACAAGCACAACTTGATCAAATGATCATAAACAGCATAAGACATTTCTTCATTGTTTTCTGAAGATCCTCTAAAACAGGCACACTCACATGTAGTCCAGGTATTCCAGGTGTCCCTCTTCGTCCAGCAGGACCAATATTGCCCTAGAGGAAGAACACAACAGGGGTTAACGTATTTATTATTAAAACAAATTCTGAACACTGTGTGATTACATGTTATGTTTTATGGGTTACCTGATCCCCCTTTGGTCCTGGTGGTCCAGGTGGCCCCAGAGAACCCTGGCTACCCTAAAACACCAACAGTAAAACATAGAATTCTGCTCTTAGGTTGGGGTGATAGCTGCTGCTTTGCCTGAGAAATGTGTTGGGAAGGACGGATTAGGGTACCTTTAGACCATCTTTTCCTGGTGGACCATCTGGTCCTTGGTCACCTTTCTCCCCCTGCAGAAATGGACAGGGGTTTGAGTTATGTACCCCGTATACATATACGGCAAAACTAAGATGGAGAGAGTGCAGCATTATACCTCTTCGCCTTTTACACCCTGATCTCCCGTCTCTCCTCGTGGTCCTATGATACCCTGGTAGAAAGAGGATGAAATGCTATATTTTTATATATTTATATATTTTGATTCTTTGTATCTGCATCAGCATGGTACCACCAGCTGTAATGTCTCTCATTAAGTTCACATTAATCATCTCATTAATCCTTCAAAACTACCTGCTTTCATACGGACTGTCTTTCCCAGAAAATGGACACATGGTCACACCACCCTGTCCTATACTTTATGCAGGGGCACACGTGCACAAATTGGTACAAATGCATGCCATCGTGGCATTGATTAGGCCTCTGAAGTTGCGTTGTCTTTCTGTAGTTGGCGACATTCTAAACATCTTCTAAACATCGCTGGATCCTCTGAATTATAAGGTTGTTCGAGAGTCAATATGACTACTGCCACATGCAAGACATGACTGCTGTGTACTTAATTGACATTATAAGACCAGCAAGCTTTGTTAAATGTGGTAAATAAGCTGATGACTTTAGAGGTCCATGTTCATGGCAAGTGATGCAGACTTACCATAGGCCCCGCCCATCCAGGCACTCCTTTCTCTCCCATCTCCCCTGTCTCTCCCTATTGGACAGCCAAGAACAAATTGTAGTCAAAACTCAGTACACAAAATACACATAAACAGGTCTTTTGAGAGATACCTAATGCACACATTTAGTTACACAGAACTACAGGGTGAGTCAAAAGTCAAAAACCACCTAAATGTTTGTGAGACATTCAATAGCCCTGTCCCAAATGGCACAGGTGTAGTCCTGCAGTCCTCGTTTGCATATGTCTGTAAGGATTGCAAGGATGTAGGGTGTCATATTTCTCATTTTGCCATTCAAAAGGGACCTCATGAGTGCTTCTTTGTGCCCTCAGTTGCAGGCTCAGCAGTGGAATCCTACCCAAAGTCCCTTGAGATACAGGTTAGGACCAATCAGAGTGAATGGGTTTGTTTACTGTCTGTCTGACCTGTCTGACCAATATAGTGAAGAAGAAGCCATTCAGATGTGAGATAAAATATGTTTAATAATTTAACTTGTTGCCGTGTTACACTCCTAATCTGAATTGAGCCACTGTATATAAACAAACTAGCTCATTAAAAAAAAGAAAACAAAACAAGTACGACCAATAACAGAATTTCAGAGCCCACACATCGCATGAGTCTGTCCCAAATAGACACTTCTAAACCTAGAATCCTGAAGGTCTCTTGTTCTCTGTGTCTGCATGCTGGTGATGTTACCCTGGAGGAGGACCACAGGGCTTCAGGTGCCATTGTTGTGTTATGAAGGCTAATAAAGGCCATGAGTTTGCATATAATTTGCAGTAGGAACATTTAGAGTTGAGTTAGACTTGATCAATGTTGTACCCTGATGAGCCAAAACAATATGACCACTCACAGATGACGTGATTGTTAATAATGTTGATTATCTCAAAACAACAGTGAATGTCAAGGTCTGGGATATATTAGATGGTAAGTGAACAGTTGGTTCTCATAATCGATATGTTGGATGTGAGAGACGTGTGAGGTGCTCCTGGTCAGCAGTGGTGAGTTCCTACTCACAGTGGTCAGCAGCCACAGACTGGTTAGAGTGCCAATGCTTACCCCATCCATCGTGGAAAGTGGCTAAAATGGGCACAAGCGTCATAACTGGACCTTAAGAGTAATGGAAGAAATCTGCTTCATCCAATGAGTCCCGTTTGGTTTTACATCACATGTACGGTCATGTTCATGCGCGCCGTTTATCTGGGGAAATGGTGGCACCAGGATGCACTGTGGGTAATGGTATTCCCAGATGGCAGGGAGCTCTTTCAGCAGGATTATCTGCCCTGCTGCACCTGCACACATTGTTTGAAAATTGTTTAGAGCATGGACGAAGAGTTCAAGGTGCTGCCCAGGTCTCCGAATTCCCCAGATCTCAATCTGATCAAGCATCTGTGGGAAGTGCTGGAACAACAAGTCTGATCCACAGTGACTCCACCTCACAACTTAAAGGACCTGTTGCTAATGTCTTGGTGCCAGATACCACAGGGTCCTTGCCTTGGCAAGCCAGAGCTGTGTTGGTGGCACGCAGGGGATAAACAGCATGTTAGGCAGGTGGTCATTATGTTTTGGCTCATTGGTGTATAACTTCAAGATATGATTGGCATTTTTGAATATGCCTTTATACTGTGTGCATATGACCTCTGACCTTTTCTCCTCTTGGTCCTCTTAGGCCCCGTGAACCAGCTTTGCCTCTTTTTCCCTTAGAGAAAGAGAACTAAGGTTTATTAATTAGCATTTATGATTGGTCTATTTACCACAAACCTATTACTTCACTGGTCCATTTACCACACAAAAACTCAGTAAAATATATATGTAATAGAACTGACAAGCCAGTGTATCCAGTCCCACTGAAAATAAATGTATATACTTTATCACAACTTTGTCCGCAGATTTCACCTCAAGGGTGTCCGTTAACCTATGTGTAAAATATTTTAAGGAGTAGATTCCAGCAAGCTCACCCTCCTTCCAGTGAGACCCATGTTTCCTGGAGGTCCAGTAATGCCATCATCTCCCTAACACACACAAACACACACAAACACACACACACACACACACACACACACACACACACAACTTTATTAGCAGATAAAGCTGGCCTTTACAAACTCTATTCCATATTGCAAACTTTAACTATTGTTCTATATTGAAAGACAAAGAACAACATATAGACAGTGGTACTTTGCTCTGGAAATTTAGCCAGAAAAATACACCACTGTGACCTTACCTTCTCTCCTTTCATGCCCTGTGTTCCCTCCAGCCCTGGCCTACCCATGCTTCCCTGCAACAATCAAAACTCATTAAGAAAGAAGATGAAAAATCTGTGCCGCTGGGGTGAAGCTTGCACAGACAGAGCTGCAATAAGAAGAGATTCACTAGGTTAAATCTAACTCTTCAGCAAGGGAATTTACATGTATCTTAGGTCTGAGTGGTATAGGAGTGCACTCAACCAGCCACTCAGATATTACTGATTCAGACTGATTAACTGATTCAGTTATAAGCATATTGCTTTGTATTCATCAGAGTCGGCCCGATATATTGTTTGGCTGATAACGTTGGTTGATACTTTTTTGGTTGCAGCATTGCTGAGGTTCAATCTCTTGACAGTAAGGCAACAACTTGAGAGCCCAATATGAGCCACCTGTTTAAATGCATGACAGCAATACAGCACCGGTAAATCTGAACACAAAACTACAAAACTTATGGTTAAAATAGTATGTAAAATGATCCAAACCTAACATTTAGCACGTGTAAAATGCAATAAAACCTTTTTTTCTGGTGACAAATATGAAAAGGAAATACTAAAGTAATGTGCATAAATTAACAAAAACATACATTTAAAACACAAAGAATTCTGTGCAACTCCACCCCTAGTTCTACACTATTTACATTATTTATTACTGCTGTTTATATGGGTTTAAGAAACCATAAAGAACAGACAGTTTCAAACAAGAGATTTCACAACTCATTGTTAATCATTCACAGAAGTCAGTAAAGCAGTGTCCAACTAAAACTATATGATTATAAAATTAAAATCTGAAATCTAAAACTGTAATTATAATTATAAATTTTCAGCTTTTTACAATTGGTATCAGCTACAAAATTTCAGTTGGGCTCTGGTATTAATTCACTTGCTGGTTGCACTTTAGCTAGGTATTTCTGGAGGTTTATGGTGTTTAAGCTGTCACTGCTCTTACTGCATAAACATCATCAGCATGATGAAATATAACTAAGTCTGGTTTTTGGACAATTATATAAAGTACAATTTATATTAGTAGCACTTGATTAGTTTTAAAAATGTATGATCTTTTTCGATCTCTCTATACTTTGTATGTGTATGTTTGGTAAACTGGTAAGAAACCTAATGAACGAAGGTCTCTGTGCACTGACCTGGGCTCCTGGTGGGCCTGGTGGCCCCTGAGCACCTGACTCCCCAGGGGATCCCTGGGGGAAAAAAAAGTGGGAATGAGATAAAGGCTCTCAAATTGTAGTCAAAACTCAGTACACAAAATACACATAAACAGGTCTTTGAGAGATATCTAATGCACACATTTAGTTACACAGAACTACAGGGTGAGTCACAAGTCAAAAAACACCTAAATGTTTGTGAGACATTCAATAGCCCTGTCCCAAATGGCACAGGTGTAGTCCTGCAGTCCTCGTTTGCATATGTCTGTAAGGATTGCAAGGATGTAGGGTGTCGATTGCCTCTCCAACTGTCAATTCTGACCCACAAATCTGCAGACTGGAGCCAACCAGCTCGGACTCGGTCAGACTGAGAATCGGGGCTAAATTTGGGGGTAAAAGTCGTGTAGTGTAACCCTGGCTTAAGACGTATGTCGCTGTTGTCGGACACAAAACATTGCATCTCTAGTTTTGTTGTTTTTTAAATTTGTACATAATTTATAAATATCTGTTGTCCTTTACATGATGAATGGACACAAAGAAACGGCCCAAAAAATAAAGTTTGTTTTTTCTCCTGTGAAGTCACAATTTTAGAGATAGGAGGTTTTGTTTTCCGATAGCAGCAATATGTAAATGTCCTTCGCTCTGATTGGCTCCTGAAAAGCAGTTCAGGCTGAACCCCTCCTTATAGCTTTAGCATGAGTGGGCAGGGCTAAACTGCTGTAGGCTGAAGTGGCAAAAGTTTGCGTGCTCCTGGCCAAATTTCATGTTATGATGATTTCATCTAAGCCTAGACTAAAGACTAAAGACTAAAGACTAAAAAGCCAGACTGTGTCACCGCATCCATGAATACACAGTGTTTCTACGCTAATGCTCTAAAGAACATCCTTTGGTTATGTACATATATGTGTGTGTATAAAACCAAAATTAAAACCAAAGGGCTGCACCTCTAAACCAGGCAGTCCAGGAGGTCCTTGAATACCTGGTAGGCCCTCTAGCCCCTGAGGACAGATGTAATTATAAACACTGCATGAAACAACACTTACAAAGTGGAATTTCTGAAAGTAACTAATAAACTGGAGTGGTGGTTGTGTATGGTGTCTTCTCACCTCTTCACCTGGTTCTCCTTGATTCCCTGAATCTCCTTTCTCTCCATCTGGCCCTGTGAATCCTTTAGGCCCAAAATCTCCTTTAGGGCCTACAGGACCTTCACTACCCTGCATCCAAGACAATTAATTCAACGATGGAATTAAAGGGTTTATGCAGGCGTATCTTAGGACACTTAGGACAGTAGTTACATACCTGTGGTCCCGGCTTTCCTGTGTCTCCTCTCACTCCTGCTGCTCCTGCTGCTCCCTAATTTAAACAGAGAATGATATCAGTAAATCTTCTTTTATCTTTATGATCTTTATTCATATTCTCTGATATCATACAGTTTTTAAGGGTTTATTACCTCAGGCCCAGCGTTTCCAGGAACGCCACATACACCACTAGGCCCCAGCTCACCCTGTGGGAAAAAGCAAATGTGTTGATCACTTATAAACACACTACATCTACATACTTACAAAAGTGTTAATTAATTCAGTACCTTATTCCCTGGGGGTCCATTGGCTCCTACCGGTCCTGGTGGCCCTGTCTCACCCTTAGTAAAATAGGAGAGGAGCAGCTAATAAGATCTACCACTTAACAAGGTATTAACTGTATTGGTTTGAAATGTATTCAGCAGTTCAACAGACCTGCAGTCCTTTTAACCCAGCAGGTCCAAGTCCACCCATGAGACCTGGCTCACCCTGAAAATAAGGTGGACCAAATTATCTCCACACAAATATACAATATCACAATTTTTGAGATGCTATAAAGGAAAAACTAAGCATACATGAACAGAAAAAAATACATTAAGACTGGTACTCTGACAAATTATCAACATCACAATGTTAGGTGGGAAAGGATGGTTAAGTAGGCTAGCAAACATACAAAACTTCATTATTAAAAAGAATAGCCCTATCAAATTTTTGTGTAAGGCTAATGTAGTTAAACTTTGTCATACTTACTGCACACTGTGTGCCAGATGTACATGCAAGTGCAGATGCAGTGCAAAATGTGCCTTATTTATACCGCAATATAAAGCCACAATGTGCCTGAGATTAGCATTCAGTTTTTAAAGACTGCAGCTTATCTGTTCGCTTAAGAGGCACATGCTTTAAAAAAAGCATTGCAATAATGGTGCCATCAACAAGCTGGACACAAAACAGTAAATGAATGTACAGTGACAGAGATAGCAGTGTTAATAAAGTTTTTTTGCCACCAAAACTTTCTACAGGGGCGTTATTTTTTTCTGGCTAAAGCCCTATTCAGATAGGATTAGTTTTACATGACAACGTGGGATAATGCAAATGTAAATGCGCCGTGTCAGTCCTTGTTACCCACTGCATGCATCAGTAAAGACTCCAGCGACTTTTACCTTCCATAAAAAGAGCAGCAGAAATAACCTCAGGTGATATTAATCCTGTGCAAATTGACATGTCAGTGGAGGCACTCTGCCTTCTCTGTGGCTAAATTCAAGCTAATATGTAACACTACTGTCTTATCTCATGATTTTGAGCAGTACAGTTGACTGATGAGAATTCTCAAGGTATTGGTGATGCTAATGGCACAGTGTATTCCCCTAAGGCAAAACATATGATTAGGGTAAACGAAATAACTAGTTAAATGTTTTAACATATTTTCTATTCTTTTCTGGGCTGAAGGCTGTGCGTTACTTAAGTAGCCACTCCCATCTCTGTCATTTATACTGAGACTTCTTATCCTGTGCGAACTGGCCATAAACACTGCAGATGTCCTGTGGTAAACTGGCATTACCCCACCTCCTCATGGAAAAGTAATCCATCTGAATAGGGCTTAAGAAAGAGTTTGTGAAGTAATAACGTGGACTGTGTACACATATTGCGGACACTTCATGGCATATTTTGTGTTCTCATATATATACATCTCATCTTGTAAGCCGAGGTGTTTTTCTGTTAATAAATATTGTTACAACACGTGTTCGAGGCTCATGCTTGAACACACGCATGACAGTGTTGTGGTGATCTTTGTAACCCTAGAATATACGAATAAAAGCTAGGATATTCTTTGGTCTCACCAGAAGGCCGATGTTGCCCTTGTCCCCTTTGGGACCTCGTTCTCCTTTCTCCCCCAGGGCTCCCCATGGACCCTCCAAACCAGTGAACCCCCAAGGGCCTGCATCACCCTGAAAAGGAGCACCATAGATATATACTCATTGGTCTTAACATTTATGGTGTGTGATCATGTCTGTTTCACATGTAACATAAACTCTTGGTTTGTATTAAATGGCTCACTTTTTCTCCTTTAGGTCCCGGGTCACCAGCGTCTCCAGTCTGACCAACACTTCCCTAGTTTGACACAGACGTATGTTCATTGTTTTATATTATTTGTATCTGGGTATTGTGTTTGACCTCGAATGATATGGTTTTCTGTACTGTTGAAAACCCTCACCTCTTTGCCCACTTGCCCAGGTGGACCCTGTAGACCTTTCGCACCCTGTGGACCACGGTCTCCTTTCTTTCCCTGAGGACCAATATTGCCACAGGGACCCCTTTCTCCCTGCAAATCAGAAACAGTCAAATCAGTCACTGTCCAAAAATTCTGACATAAACAAAATTCAGAACAGACTTTGCAACATAATGCTGTACATATCACCTCACCTGATCCCCTTTTCTCCCTGGTGGTCCTTCTGGTCCTGCTAGACCTGGTGGACCCTGAGGAAAACAAAATCAGAGAATTAACAGAAACCAGCAAGCGACTACAGAATTTATTGAAATCAGATATTCTACGCATATTTAAATATTATGCCAGTCTTTCATTTGTCAATTAGTGCTATATATAGGGTTATATCCTTAATCATGTATTATCAAAACAACACCACAACCACTCCAGTACTAACTGTTTTTAGCAAAGGCCTGACCTGTTGTCCTTCGAGTCCAGCTGGCCCAAAATCACCAGGAGGACCCAGTGTTCCCTGTAAATTAACACACAATTTTATGCAGGTGACTCAAGCAAAGCAAAGCACATGGTAAACAGATCTTGGGCTCTTAGCACTCTCTGACCTTGTCTCCTCTCTCCCCAGGTGGTCCTGGCAAGCCATCAGCACCCTGAGGGCCCTGGAGAAAATAATGGAACAGTTCTGTAGCCATTCAACATTGAAGGAGAGTTTAGAACAGGGGCCACCAACCTTACAGCCTTACCCACACAGCACTTGTGTCCCTACAGGTTTTCATTTTTACCAGGTTTTCCATTTTTTAATCCTTAGTTGTATCCAATTCTCATCCAAAAGCAAAGTCTCCAATAGTTGCTTAAATATATGAAGTGTGCTCCTGTTTGGCTGGAATGAAAACTTGCAGCCACATCGGCAGGTAAGTTTGGACACCCAGTCTTTAGAGTATTGCCTTTTCTATGTGGCAGACATTAAGGGACCAAATGTGTGCCAAAAAGAAACTTTTGCCACATCATTATTCCACCACTATCAATATTCTACTTATATAACCAGTATAACCAGCCTGTAGTATTGACACCTCGGAATCCATGGATTTATAGTGTTTTTGTGAAGTTCTGACCAAACATCACTGTGCTGCAGCAGAAATCATGATTCGTTACATTAGTAATATTTTGTCAATGACACCTCCAGTTTTGGTAATCATAAACCTACTGTAACCGACTTTTTATAACTCCATTCTCTGTAGACTACAGTAGTGGTCACCAGTCCTCTCCTGGAGATCTACCTTCCTGCAAGAGATAAGTTCTGGCCTGTACCTAGAACTTCTGAAGAAGTAAATAAGCTACAGCAGGTGTGTCAAATTATCACTGGAACTACACTACACAGTCAGTTAAATTTTCAGGACCAGAGTTGGTGACCATTGGACTTTTGTGTGTGAACATTCCAGTATACGCCTGGCACCTCACTCACTGCTTTATTAACTCAATTTAAATGTAATTTAATTAGGTTAATGGAATTAAGAGTCCATACAAAAGCCTTACACTTACTGGGATACCTGGAGGCCCATTTGGGCCTGGATCTCCTGGAGCACCTTTACTGCCAGGAGGTCCTGGCCTTCCCATGGTTCCATCCACTCCCTGCAGCCCTGGAGGACCCTATAACAAAACAGACAACACATTTCAGTTGTTAAGTAAAAAGAAATGAAAAAAAAATGGTCAATGGTCAATCTTAATAAAACTTACAGACATTCCATCTATTCCTTGTGGCCCAGGATCTCCTTGTCTGCCCTGAAGAAACAGATACGTAATGAGAAGACAGAGCAACTGAAAAGGAATACCGGTACTTTCAGTCCCTTATCTGCATTATGGAAATTTAAACCACACCAACCACACTATAGAACTGCAGTTTCTTATTTTACATGTTGAACAGTCTCACCTGGGCTCCCGGAGGGCCTCTTTCTCCAACTGGCCCTGGGGGACCCTTATCACAGAAGAAAAAAGATTCACATTGATATATTATTTTACATTTTAAAATGTTTTTCTGCCAAACATAGAGTATCTAGTAAAAACAAATTATACTTACTGGGGGTCCAGGCTTCCCAAGGGGTCCTGGAGGTCCTTTCACACCAGGCTGTCCCTGTAAATATTATATGGTATTGGTAAACATCATACACATATTTACATAGAGAGTCTTTTTCTGACTGTATCTGTATCTGCTTGAAGCGGATTACCATACAAGAGACAACAGTTATGCAAGAGTAATGAATATGATGCATGCAATATGTCTTCACCCGTTCTCCCATGTGTCCTGGTCTTCCTCGCATGCCCATAGGTCCTGGGAAGCCCTTGAGGGGTAGAAACAAACAGTGTAAAGATATAACAGACCAAAAAATCAACACTGAAAACCCACTTTATTACTATCCTGTATTGGGTTGGACCCATTTTGCCTCCAGAACAGCCAGTATTCTTCACTGTGTGAATTAAACAAGATGGAAAGAACCCGTAGAGATTTTAATATATTCACAGCATCATTCATTGCTCCTAGAGATCTCTCAGCCTTTCTTGATGCAGCCCTCTTATGACACTTCATCTTCAAGGTGCTCCATTTGACTGAGTTATAGGGGCTGTGAAAGCCACTGGAGCCACTGGAGCCTTGTTGAGATGCGGCATGCTTTATAATGTGGCACGTTATCCTGCTGGACGTATCGGGATTATTCTATCAGATACTGGACAGATTTGTCAAAGTTCAGCTAAAATGCATGCTTAAGAAACAATACTTGGGTACATTGCGATATCTGAATAGTGCCCAGTTGGTATCAAGGTATATAAAGTGGCAACGTTAACTTTTTTCCACACCATTATGCTACCAACACTATGTGCCTATGACATAAGACTGGATGGATTCAATGATTCATAGTATTTATACCAAATTCTGGCAAAATCATCTGCATGTTGCAGCTAGGGCTGAACGATTTGGGGAAAATATCTAAAGCTAAAGGCTTGACATCTTAATGTAGTGAGCCAGAAAGCCAGTAAGTTGTGGTTGTGATGTCACAACACATGGAGGTTTGGTTGCCTCTGATTAGTCTAACTCTACAGGCAGGGTACAACCCTGTGTTATTGCCTTAAATTTCCCTCTTAAAACTTAAGACAAAGTTTAATTATGCAGGCTATAATTAAAAAAAAAATGCAGCTCTTGCGATTTGAAAATCGCACTCTCTTAAATTCCGATTTAGATATGAAAAATGATTATTCTTTCAGCCCAAGTTGCAGCATAAATGAACATTTTCCTAATATATAAATGTCCAGGTTCAGCAATCATGTACAGTCTTATGCAAAAGTTATCACACTCCTGGTCAAATTACATGTATTGTTGATTTTCTAAGTTGTAATAAGTTAACGCATCATCTACAAGCAACAATTTTTAATGCAAATTATAGTGCATAATTTCTATTTATCTGTTGAGTATAACATAAAATATAAAATGCCATAACTTTTGTACAGGCCACATTTTATGTTATTTCTTATGCACTAAGCTCTGCAATGTGTTCTCTGTAGGGGACATGTTAACCTATTTTCAACATTATTCATATTTTCACTTATTTTCAGATCAACTAAACGTAATTTGATCAGGAGCACCCAAACTTTTGCATATGACTATACCCACTGTAGCCATTCACTGAATATTTTTGGCTTATTGCAATTCCTTAAAAAGCTAGGGATGTCCCAATCCAATCCGGAGGATTGGGATCAGTGCCGAACCAGTCTTATTTTAGAGGATCAGGTCTTAAATACATTAAGCCTTATCCACCTTTGATCATTTGATACCAATGTCCGCATATTAAAATAAAGTCATTTTGCTGCAGCGTTTATATATGTAACCTGTAGACAAATAAAGAAGCTTAGTTGATAAGTCAATATTAAAGACACTATAAAAACAGAACTTCCAAAAATGAAAAAAGTAAGAAAATATTAACCGTCAGACTTGCATTTCTCACATGTGGCTGCATTATGTACTAAAATAAAAATTTAGATGGAGCTGGAAATTAGCCTTCACAAGCAAGTGTACTTAATAAAAAGGCCACCAAACATATACATTTATGACTACAGATTGCTGCAACTACACTTTTTAATATAAGTAGGAAATGGAAAGGCCATTTCCTGAAGTCTTAAATGCATAAATTACAAAAAATGAAAATCCCTTTTCACACCCAAGTGCCCTCTCCCAGAGACCCCTGCAGAGACATCACTTACATACATGCCAACAGGGCCCTGAGGACCCTCTGCTCCAGACTTCCCAGAGAAACCCTGAGAAAATAACCACACAAACACCATCACTAATCAGCTACACACATACAAAAAAGGTCCTAAACAAGCAAATGAGCAGAAAAACAAATACCCTCTCTCCTGGCGGCCCCGGACTGCCCATCGGCCCTTCTCGACCCGGTGGACCCTATTATAGAAAAAATTATTAGTCATGCTTAAGAGTTTATAAGAAAACATGTATATGGTGAACTCTTTCCAATTTCACACATGCATTTGTTATATCTCTCTATCAATCACTCCTGCTGAAGTGGGAGAAGTATTAGCTGCTTTGGGGTCTAACGCCTGCAAAGACGCAAGCTGAAACACAAAAGTACAAGAGCTAATTTAATAACACCTGGACAAAGAGATTTGCTGATTTTAATTTACCCACAAGTGTTTGCATAAATGTTTAAACTAATATTAAAAAAGTGGATTGTGTGGAAGTGACGGTGAACAGAATTTGCCTGTGTAATTACTCATTTCTTTTTATTTGCGCTTCCTAATTAATAGGGTTAAGAGGATTTGATAGACTAGTGTTAGACTCAGATCATAGTAAATGGATCAAAGTGGTTCATTTCATAAATTTAAGAGTAGCATTCTAAAGACAACTGTTTCCTCACTTCACTCCCCTCATCAAAATTACAGTCCGTTCACAGACTTATTCAAATCCCTGCTGGGACTTGTTTTAAGGAAAACTTATTAGGGGTTACAGACATTGTCATGCAAATTCCTGGACATTAACTGTCACCTAAATTCACATCTTACTGAAGTTTAACTGGAAGCATTTGATCTCTACAGGTTCTAGGTAGTGTCAAATGTATTATGTTATTTAAATGTATTACTTGAGAGTTTAATAAGTTAAGAATACGTAAAGATGAGTTCCATATTCTAAAGTGGAGATTTATACATCACTGATTAAAGGTTAAAAAAGAGCTAAATAAGTTAATATTAAGATTTTTAAGGTACTGAAATTGAATTTCTGGTATAGGCCAAAAACTGCTATTGTTGTTATTGTGTGACTAAATCTTCAGAGTGATATGAAAGGAAGAGACAATTTTCCATACATTTGATATTTTATTAATTTAGATATACATTTTCTGTTAGAGGAATACAGTCAGCTACTGCTATCATACTAAAGGAACACTAAGATTAAAGGGCCCATATCAGCTTGTTTTGAATATATTGTTTATATACATATATGTATACATTATATATATATTATATATATATATTTATATATATATATATGTATATATATATATATATATATATATTTGCTCATTCAGTCTACAGCAGCTTAGTCCCACCCATTCATGCTGAGGTTATCAGTGCTTTTTGATTGATGCACGATACATGGCAGCCAATCAGAAGGGAGCTCATTTATGTATGATTACGGTATCTTAAAGGCTTGATAATGCCCTAAGGGATGAAGAGAGGTTGGACAATGGTCATTTAAAAATGAACCATAGCAGTTTTTAGTACATAAAACTGCATAAACGTTTGAAGTGGACATCAGGTGAAAAATATAAAAAACAACAAGTATATAGGATAACGGGCCTTTTAAAGACTGGCATAATTTGCAATCTGCAAATCAGAAGCCACCAAAGCCAAAATAACAATTGTAGATTTATACTAAGTCTATATCTATAACTCAAATAATACCTCACCAGTCCTAAAATTAACTCGTTCAGCTCTTTTTTAGCCTTTAATTAGTGATGTGTAAATCTCCACTTCAGAATATGGAACATATCTTGCAGTCGTAATCGTGTTAATTCCTCTGTCATGAATTTAAACAAAGAAATAAACTTGACACTGCCTAGAACCTGTGGGAATCAAATGCTGCCAGTGATTACATTAATAATGTGTAAATTTAGGTGATAATTCATGCACAGTGATTTGTATAACAATGCACAATGTTTATTGTGCATTATTACAACTAACAACGCAATTACTAGTGAATTTCACATGAGAGACGCCTAATTATAATACAGTGCTAATACAGGCCATAATGAATTAGGCTTAATGCATAATAAATAAACAATTTAGAAGTGTCCAAGTCAAAATTTACTAAAAAAAGGACCTTAGTAAATATCAAGTATGTGTTCCTTTAAATGAAGTGTTTCCAAATCCCTTTTATGCTTGTCACAGTGTTGTGAACAATATTTCTACTGACACCCTGTAAATCACTCCTCACGTTTGAGCTATACAAATCTTTTGTTTGCGCTCTATCACTTCATTAGCCTGTGTTCCTAAGGACCAAATTTCATTTTTCAGAAACGTTTCTGATTTAATTGTCCATGACTGAACATGTTTCCACAAAGCCCAAAAGAGCTGCCCAATATGTAAATGAAATTCTGGACACCTGCTATTTAAACCTTGTTGCTAGTAAACTACCTGCAAATAAATTGCTTATGAATTTTATATTACTGCCAAAGCAAATTAGCGGTCACTATGGGTGTTCTTAAATTAAATTAGATGCTAAATCAGAGGGGACTGTAGGACTGCTGTAGTACTAAAGTTGTTTTAAATGAATTCGTATTACTAAAAGGAAAGAGGAAAGGAAGCTCACAGGAGGTCCTGGTGGTCCATCCAGACCGTGCTCTCCTGCAATGCCCTGAAAGCCCTGGAAAAGGGTGAGAATGGAGGATTACTGCAAATCTTTGTGTGCACATATAGGTATGTGTATTTATTTCTTCTGCTGCCGATAGTGACCACGCACTGCATGTTTTACTGGGACCATTTATGGTCAATATGAAGCACCAGAAACTTTTAACAAGCAGCCCCCTTTCAACTCAATAAATTCTTGCAAAGGTTGTCACTGTTCAGGGGAACCTCTTTATGAAACCATAAAAAGCATATCCCATCGCATAAAAACACGATCACCTGTTTTTATTTGGTTTGCATCAGTGGCTGAGTCAAAATACATGGCAACACTAGTATAGAGCTTATTTCACCACAGTAAAACCCTCAGTGGAGTAAAATAATATTAATGGGTCAAAGGATGAGCAGAATACATGTATATCAAAAAAAAGGAGAAAGAAATATGGTTTCAGATCAGTGGCTGAAGCTTTGAGAGCATTGTATTCACCATTAGTCCTTTTTCCCCTGGGTTACCCATAGCACCTTGAGGTCCCTGAAACACAGGAGAAATTCATGAGCACAGTATTACTTCTATTAAACATCATCCAGCTTTTTATTTTTAATGCACTTTTAAAATTATTAGGCAAAAAGTCAAAAAAATAGTTGAACCCACAAGGAATCAACCAACAGGAGAGAAACCCGGTGGGTAGGTTTGACACTGTGAGACATGCAAATGATTAAGTTTCATGTTCAGCCGCGCATGTGACGTAAGCAAAGACGGACCTTATTGCTGTACCTGACTGACTATATAAGGTTGTCCTGTTGCATACATTCCATTCTGACTCAAGCTGTTGTGTTGGTAGCATCCTTTGCAAGAAAAATATGCCTCGGAGAAGAGTTCAAAAGCAATTAGAGCAGTTGGAAGAGTTTGAGAGGGGTCGCATCGTTGGGCTCCAGGAGGCGGGATGGTCTTATCGATGTATTGTGCGCCATACTGGTCGTGCGGATATTACCACAGCACGCTGTTGGTGGCAGTGAATAGAAGAAGGCAAGCATAAGCGACATGAAGGATCTGGGAAACCTACAAGAACCACGGAGAGGGAGAACCAACGGATTGTCCGACATGGGCAGAGTGACCAAACAGCCACGATTGTGGACATTCAGCGAGCAGTGATGCCCTCCATGAGTCATCCTGTTAGTGCCAGCACGATTGGCAGATGGCTGCACAACACAGGACTACATGCATGCAGACCGTTACGACAACTGCCCATAACACCATGTCAACATCGCCAAAGACTGCAATGGTGTTGTGCCAGACTGTCATGGAGTGACGCAGAACGGCAGCGGGTCATCTTCAGTGACGAGTCCCGCTTTTGTCTTGGTCGAGACAACCATGGAATCCGTGTGTGAGGCACCGTGGTCAGCGCCAAGCTGAACGATTTGTTGTCACACATCACACGTCCAGAAGGCCTGGTGTCATGGTGTGGGGTGCAATTTCGTACAATACCAGATCACCTTTGGTCTTTATTACAGGCACTATGACAGCCCAATGTTACTTTAATGAGGTCCTGCAACCAGTGGCCCTACCTTTTCTGAACGCACACTCCGGTGTGCTATTCCAACAGGACAACACTCGTCCGCGTACTGCTGCCGTCTCAAGAGCTTGCCTTGACGACAGACACTATGCCATGGCCAGCCGCATCGCCAGACCTATCCCTGATTGAAAATGTGGGGGATGCTATTGGACGCAATATCTACACTCCACCCCTACCACAACAACTGCACGAACTGCGTGAGAATGTTCAAGCTGCATGGGATGGTTTACCGCAGGACACCATTAGGAACCCCTACAACTCAATGCCAAGACGTCGGGCATTTTGCGTTTGCAAACATGGCGGCGGGACGCCATACTGAGAGACACTACTTCTGTATGTGTAGCTCAATGAATATTGCTCATATCAGTCTAAATGTTTAATCATTTATTGTTCCTGGTAACCTTCATCTTCCTTCCGAATAGCATTGCAATCAGACACTTCCTTCTGGGTGCAACTAATTTTTTGACGATGAGTGTATATCATTCCTCTACTACAGTGGACCATGTTTGTTGCAAGTACAAGGCTAATACTTTTACTACGAAACCTTATGCTGCTATTGCTGTTGGATTACTGAGAAGAAACACAACTTACTGTTAAAACAGCCTTACATACACTACAGACACAGAAGCCCCTTCCTATCCCCTGTACACTGTTTAAAAAATGCCAATTCTATGTAAAAAATTTGTTTTTTTAATGGCTGCTTTAAAATGTTTGTGGTAATTGAACTTCTAATAGTAAGTCAACAGAATCTCCATCTCATGTTCTGTTGACTTACTATTTGAACTCAAAATGTAAAAGTAGCCAGTTACCTAACTTTTTAAGCCAGAACATTATTTTTTGTAGGTTACTCTCCACAGAAACAGAAGAAGAAGCAGTGATCATGGTATTAGAATATAGAATGGGAACCTGTGTACCAGGCTTTCCTTCAGCTCCCACTGCTCCTGGAGAACCTGGCAACCCCTGAAAAGTCAAAATACAACAAGTTCTGAAATTCTGTACTAACTGAGCTCCTCTAAATTTTTGCCTGGTGCAAAAACAGACTCTTACCGGTGGTCCGGGCATACCAGTGTGACCTCTTTGTCCGGTACGGCCCTAAAGGAAAGGCAGATGCCCACCAGAATGTCAGTCAGAACTTATTATGCTTTATAATTAATTATGATGTAACATAAAATTTAAAATACTGTGTGATATAAGTTATTTATTAAAGTGTGGAAATTATTAAATTACTTTTAACCGAGCATTACATACAAATACAAATAACACATTAACAATACAAATAATACAAAAAACAAAACAATCCAACATAAAATTATTTATAGATGTGTATTACCTTTGGCCCCCTGGGTCCTGGTTTTCCCTGACGGCCATCTGGGCCCCTCTGCCCCTTTAGCACAATTGTGACAGGTGTTTTAGAAGCATATCAAATTTATTGCATTGTCTGATAAAGTAATTCAGTTTCAAACATAGATTTTATATAGTTTCAGGAGTCAATGACAGTACAGACTAAGTGATAACTTTATATCTATTTTTCTCTTTGTATTTTAAAGAGAACATGTTTAAATGGTTCCATCCCAAATACCAGGCCAGCTGTGCGGGTACTGACCTTTGGACCCTCCTTTCCTGTTTTGCCCCGTGGACCAGCCTCTCCATCTTCTCCCTGAAAGACAGAGGAAGAGAGAGAAAGGCAAACAGAAACTCATCAGTTAAAAAAGGCACAGTACCAGCAGAAAAACATACATAAACTTATTATCAGTATAAAAGATTTATAACAGTATAATACAGTTATAACATGCTAAATGAATCGTATGGTGAGGAAATGATGCAGTTATAATTAATATAATTCAAACTTAGCAACTCAGCTGTTACTCAGTTATGTGGGCTGGGACCTGTGGTCTGTACCTGGATCCCTCTTGGTCCAGGCTGACCTTTCATTCCTGGAAAACCAGGAAAACCTGAAGATCCCTGTTCACCCTGAGAACCCTGTATCCCTGGGGCCCCTTTAATACCCTGGGTTGGACATGGAGAAGAATGCAAAGTGTCTGTGTTATCACATTTCCACAAGAACAAAAAAACATTATATTTTACAGTGATTCTACAGTATTATATATAATCTGTAGAAAACATAATCCTTCTGCACATTACTGCATTAACACTTACTTTGTCACCTTTTGGTCCCATATCCCCCTTGTCTCCATCAGGTCCTCGTTTACCCTTAAGAAACAGTCAATATATAAAAAACATGCACATTTGTTTGAACACCCCAGGTCATACTACATGTTCTTATGGCCTTCTATGTAAAATGTTGACACGTCCTCTATAAGGAACAAACTAAATACTAAATACGGCATTTATCTGCAATTTCAGCACATTTTTCTGTGTATTTGCTGAGTTTAACATACTGGAAAAAATAAAACATAAAAATAAAATGTGCTGTAACTTTTTGCAGAGGCCACAATTTTTTCAATTTGTTTAATTCAGGGAATAAACAGAAATGTGTTCTCTGAAGAGGATTTATTATTTTTTCACACAGAAAATCAACAAAACAAATAATTTGTCCAGGGGCACCCAAACTGTGCACACAACTATAAGGAACCATGATCATTAGAGCATCTGTCTACACAATGCAGTTAACAAAGAAAGCAGAAGACAATACAGATTGGCATTTTTACTGCATAAGAAAAAGATATTTGTAACCCCACACATTCATTTAGTTGGCATTACTCAATTTTCAGGGGTGCATCATAAACTGATTTTACTATTAGTAACAGCACTAGAACATAAATGTGTCATCTGATGTGACTATTTAAAGTCCAGGGTGGGAGACTGACAGAAGTGGAGTGAGAGCTCAAAAAATCATACACTGAGAAGCACAAAAATTTACCCTTTAAAACTGCTGTCTCCTCTTTCTGTTTCTTTTCATTAATGCTGTTGGGTGATACCACTTAAGATGTCTATTATCATTTTTTTTATTTTATGTATATTTGTCACAATCTCCCTAGTCCATGCTTCCCATTCTTTCTGCCATATGTTCTGTGTTTATATTGGTTTTTGTCTCCTCCCTTGTCCTGCCCCTTTAATCCTCCTCACCTGTGTCTAGTTTGTGACCCCTCCCTTTCCCAGGTGCTTCCTGTACATATACACTCCTCTGTTTGCCTACTGTGACCTTGCATTGTAGGTGTTCTTTTGCTACTGTGTTCTGTTTTGGTTTCCTTGTTAGTTTGCTGGTTTGTTTCGTTATGCCCTTGTCTTTATATTAGCTTTGTGTTTATTATAGACCCTCCTCTACTCATCGTATCTGCTGGTGTTCCACTTGGATGTTAATTTGGAACCTAATAAACAGACTCAGCACTTGGATCCAACTGCCTCACCTGCTCAGTTACAATATTTGAGATTTAGCCACCATTTCTTTTGATGTACCTGGAATTCTTAACGTCAAACCAAGTCTCCCGCTGAGTTAACAGCCACCATCCCTCTAGAATTTTACAATTTAATTCAACCACTGAAAGCACTATACACAACGTCATGCCACATTGTGATTTAGTAAGTAATGTTGTAAGTGGAAAAGTATACCCAAATGTACAAAATACACAAAGTATTGAAGGGCCTTGCAGATCTCTAACAGCATTTATCAGGACACAAAATGACCAAGACAAGATGCTTTGTTTTAGCATGAATTTTTATATGTAAAATATTGTTTCTTGTTTGGTTTTATGCAAGAAGAGTTTCACTGAATGACCGATTAGCTTTTAAAATATACAAAAAGTACAGATAACATGTTTGTGTGTTAGCAGGAGATTTGAGAGGAGACATGTAGAAGAAACTGATGTTGAGAGAGAGGAAGTGTGCACAGCACTTTAATAACGTCATTATCAGGGAAACATCTGTTTTGACACTGTTTTATTTCCTGTTATAATGAGTGTTTTCACTCTTCTTTCTTTTTTATTATTTTGTTTATAAGACACACCAATCAACATTGCTGAATTGCACACTTTGTTTGATGTGTAAAAACACACACAAAATATTCTGGAGGTACGAAAATAATTCTACACTGAATTGAGCCCCAGATATTTACGTGCCCACCCAACGCCCCTGACATTAGCTGTAACAGCTGTAACAGATACAGCCTGAGCGTTTTGCCATCTCAGAGTCTCTACGGAAAATTCTTCTATAAAGAAAGGCAGTAAAACAATAAAGTCACACTTACTCTGTCACCCATAAAACCATGTGAGCCCTGTGGTCCTGCAGCACCCTGGAAATCAAAAGAAGAGTGATGAGAAACGTTTAAAGGGGAAATCTGACTGTTACAAAAATAGAAGTCACTGAGATTTCTACATAGTATCTCATCTGTGACTTGATAAAGGAAGATTATGTATGTGCATGTATGCAGTTTAGTTAAGGGCAGCTGCACTGTGACCAGCTGAGCTCTTCATTTGGAGCTTTATTGTTGGCATTTCTTTTGTAAAACGTTTCATAAAGAAGAGCAGATCTGAAACCGTACAGAAGTATTTAATAAAGCAAACCGTGGTGAGTCTTCCATTCTGTCAGTAATCATTACACAGATCATGAAGAACAGTGGCAGATGGGACAGATGGCGCCGATCTCCTTTTGAAAGTACAGACTTTCTGTAGTGTTCAAAAGTTTGGAATCATTTATGAGTAGTTTATAAACGTAATAACTTTTACCATGTGCATCTGATTTTTTTAGTTTTTCTTTTTTTTTGACATTTTATTCAATATTTCAATATTTTCTTTAGCCTTTTGTATTCATTATTTTAATATTTTCTTTAGACATTTTATTTAACATTTGAATATTTTCTTTAGATATTTTACTCATTATTTCAATATTTTTAGACATTTTTTTTCAATATTTCAAAGATTTTATGAACAAGCAATGAGGTAAAATAATACTGTGTAATGAACTATTTAAACTCATTTTTTCTCAAGTTACCTGCTTTGAGATTTGATCACCACTTTTGATAAATTCAATTGTATTTTAATTGTATTTTAACTTAATTCTCAATGCTATACAGCCTTCTCAATGTCAGAATATTTCATCATTTAATCAGCTCATCATTATGGACACATCAAAAATGTCTTTATTTTTTATTTACAGCCTCTCAGTGGTGATTCCAAACTTTTGAAAAGCAATTCCAAACTACTGAACAGCAGCATCTACAATGTAATTTGCAACAAAAATGCAAGTGTGAATGAATCCCACCCTTTGTTTTCTGCGTTGTTGTCTTAATTACATGAAAAAGTCCAGGCTTGCTCTTATGGTGATACTGAAAATAATCTACGTCCTCCGTCTGTGATGAGACTCCAAACTACCGGGCACCGTTTGAAACTGCAGATTCCCAAGAGCGAATTAAAATGTAAAAGACCAGAGCAGAAAACTGAGGCAATTAAACAGTGACAACAGTGTTTCTCAGAGACCTGGCAACTACAAACACAAACAAAGGCACAATTACTAACAAATGATTAAGGGACTGTTTCTAATCAAGCGAGCTGTTCTCACAGCAGGTCTCGTCAGTGTTCAATTAGGGACTGTCACGTGTATTCTCACATGTATTCTCTGATGGCACAAAACAAGATGTTTGTTGTATGGCAGGCGTTCAATGTGTGGCTGCAAAAAGCAACTGAGACTGGGTGATAATTGAGGGGCTAAAAGAGCAGAGATAGGGTAATCCACAGTGTCATCTATGACAGCTGCTGAAGCACTTAAGTCCAACATCACGTCAGCGACACTGTCCCGTGATGAAAGCTAGGACACTGTTTGATGCGAACCGCATGGGACAATTTTCAGCTCATATTTTAGTGTCACTGGATGAGCTTTCAGACGGCCATCTGGCCATCTGCTGGGAAAACACCTGGGAATGTCTATTCAATTTGCATCCTTCAACTGTCAGGTTAGGGGTGTAACTAAAACAGAGCAGCGTCAGGTCCCATCGCCTAGCTATGTCAAACAATGACATCTACAGCTGTGATGTTTAGCTGTGGTGTCAAAATACTGGGTATAAATTTACCAACAGAAAGAGAAAGGCAACGTACAGCATTTCACATCTGAAGACAACAATGTGCTAAACATGTAAAGATGTTTAGAATGATGGCTTTTGATTGTGGATAAAAGTAAGTCATTTAGACATATTGAAGCACTTACCATGGGGCCCTCGAACCCAGGCTCGCCCCGAAGGCCTGTGGGCCCAATAGGTCCCTAAGAGAGAAAAACAGACAGGAAAAGTAGGTCTATAGAATATGCTTGAGTCTCTCTTGGATAGCACCAACTTAATGAATTATGCTAAAGATATTAACATGAACCTGAGAATTAAAATGAGCCTCTGGCTTAATCAAGTTCAAAAACTGTGTTTTCGTATGAAAACAGATACAATAATAACTAGGCATTAACGTTTATCACTCATAAATGCATTCACAATCAGGAAAAGCTTGAATATGCTTACAGGATCTCCTTTTGGGCCAATTATGCCTTCTCTGCCTGGCCGGCCCTGTGAACACAGACAATTACAAATCCACTGTAGCCGTGGGCACTTTCTGGTTGTTTAAAGCTCAGTCTCTCTGTTTCCTCAGCAATATCTTTTAAGCTTCTGCCTTAATCATAGTTCAAGCTGTTTTGCTCAAGGGGATGAACAGTGTTCTGTAGCCCTCCTAATAAGGTAATTATCATTAAGATAACCCATCTCATTTTGAAAACTACCTATTTTCTCTCTTCCTGTGAGTCGTACTATTGCGTTTGTATTCTAAGTCTCTTCCAGGATCTAAAGGGTTCCTGTCCCTGAAATCTAGATAAACTCAGCAGTGAGCTCCTCATTGATGACCTTAAGGCCTTGCATCAAACTAGCACACAGCCTGCCTACCTGCCCATCTGTATCATGATGTACTCCTGTAACTCCTACGACGTTTACCACTACGTGTCTTCACTTGCAAGTTACGTCAGTCTTTAAAAGGCTTAATATTATTATGTGACATTATTATATTATCATTATATTATTATTTGTCTTGCCTTTTATTTTTTCCCTGAGGTCCACTTATGATGTTTGTGTGGTTTTATTTACCAAAAACTGTCAAACTTTATTTTCACATGACCATTTTCCAACCCCTCTTTATCCATTAGAATTATACAGGCTTTTCTCTTACTGTGACTAATACATGTAAATGATCTCTGCTCTGATTGGCTGCCCTGTATTCCACCCCATACAAAAGTAGTACGGGCTGAAACAGCTTCATTGTAAATGGGTGGAGCTAAATTACTGTAGACTGAATTTGTGGATATATGCTAATGTGTTGGTTTTAGTGACATCACAGAAATAGTGAATTTAAAACAGGCTATTTTGGCAACTTAGCTTCCATAAATGAACAGCATGGCGTGGGGGGAGGGGGTGAACAGCCCATTTTGAAACGTAAATAATGTTTACATACTACATTTTATTTCATAAAAGTGAGGAAATATCTGTTTAACAATAAGAGACCTTTAAAGTAGACCGAAGCCTGTTGCAACCCTGGAGTCTGCTCTTCCAATTTATGGAAAAAGAGCACATTTTTAAAGTATGTCATGTTCTTCTAAGGAATATAATATGCACAGTCATGACAATCAAGGACGTGTTACTAAAGCATTTTTATAATGTTTGCTGGTGCTACTAAATGATTCCTTTCAGTCAATTCCACAGCAATACTGTTCCATATCCATATAATTCAAGCTAATGCACCCTTAAAATCATCCCAAATCAATTATGGAGACTTTCAGTTTTGTTATAGTAAAATAGTGATTTCCATTTTGTTGCTCTGGATTACATTTTAATGTATGTTAATGTAAAAACATTTCAGCTGCACTTGATTGTCAAGAAATGTCAAGAAATGTTCACACAATGTTAGGAGATTTTGATATAACAGCCATAACATATTTGCCCTCAGCATAAACTCCCCAGCATTTCAAGATCTATTTCAAGTATAGTAATATAGTATAGTACAAGTGTAGTAATATATACATATAAGTTTGTGTGCATGTATATGTCTTGCTTCTGTCCCTTTGGGATCAATAAAGTTAGTTCTTTTCTTCTTTCTATCTATCTATCTATCTATCTATCTATCTATCCATCCATCCATCCATCCATCTATTCCTATAGCATCCTTCTTCATGCTGCCTGTCTTTGTTTTTTTGCTGAAGGACTTACAGTAAAAGACAGAGGACTGAAGGCGTTAAAGTAAAAGACAGGTTCACCTGTGGGCCCGGAGGCCCTGGAGACCCAATCTGCCCATCCAATCCCTGAGGACCCTGGTGATGACAAAGAGATGATGTGGACGTTAGTCATCAAGCACATCTTTTGCTCTCTTTTAAAAAGATGAGATAGATGAAGGAACGTCTGACAGTATCAACACACCTGAGGCCCTCGGGGGCCGGAGTTTCCTGCAGGTCCGGCCTCTCCCTACAAAGCAAAGCAGAGAATGGGCCAGTCAGACACTGCTGCACTACAGAAACAGATCTTTGACTGTTGTGCTGAAGTACTGGAAGAACAGAATGAAAAACAGAATTGTCATAGAAGCATGTGAAGCCTCACCCTCGAACCATTCACCCCCTGAGCGCCGACCAAGCCAGTGACCCCAGGAGGGCCCTACACACACAAAAACATATTTCAAAAGAGGAGAGCAGTTACTGATTCATTGTAGAATTAATAGTGTAATACAACATAATTGCAAGAAAATTACAAACAGAAATTAATATATTATGTTCATATTCTGGTCTAGGTTTCCAGAGATATAGACCACAATTAAGCCCTCAAACTGTAAGGACCTACATATAGGTCATGTTTCAAATAACATTTATGCTAACCTTACAAGATGCTGAGAAATGAGTTTATGCTTTATGACTTCTAGATTAGACTACTGTGACATGTTAGGGTTAGGGTTTGGGACCACCACATCCCAACAGAAAGTATCCTATAAATTCTGATTTCGTAAACATGTAGCTTATTACAGTCTCAAGTAATGCCTTGTATTTAATCAGATTATAACATAATCTTTGTAAATATCTGAGGTCTGAATACTTAATTGTTTTTTAAATAGATTTTATACTGTGGGACTGCAGTTTGAACTAATTCAACAGAATGGTTCATGTAGCTTCTAAACTCTGGAAAGGTACTTCAGAGAATATCAGGAATGTAAGCTTGATATGTGTTTTAAATCCAGATTAAAAACATGTTTTTGTAGGCTAGTTTACGCCTGGTATATTATGGCTGTTTTTTATAAGCTTTATTATAATTAGTCTTTTTTTAAACTATCATAACTACATAACCAAGTAATTAATTGCAGTTACTGAATAATATGTCTCAAGATTAGTTTTATAAAATAGTAAGCACAGGGCTCTGGAGGTTAAGGGGTCAACCCCCTCTTTTTTGGGGGCACGTTTAAGTGGTTTGTAAAACTTACTGGAGCCCCTGGTGGACCTGCTGGGCCTTCTAACCCATCATCCCCCTGTAATACAGAGAAAACACAAATGTTCATCAACCGATTGAAACAAATGCCTCCAAATGCCTTTTTATCATGCATGTAAGGAACACCATATTCATGCATTAATGTATTCTGTGTATTTGCAGTGTTGAGATGTTTTGGCTTCACTCACATCTGGCCCTGGAGGCCCCTCGAGGCCCTCAATCCCTCTGAGCCCTTGTGGCCCCTGCAGGTAAGGACATTATTATTATGTGTCAATCTAAATGTCATCCAGCCCTGCTCACCCAAAAATAACCTCCAGTAAAAACATACGCAGGGATTTTTCACTGTTACTGCTTGTTACACCCTTTTACAGCTGGCATGGTTTACGTTACCATAATTACAATAATATAATTATCTAATCATGTTTAATAAATAGTGAGATCAGAGACTTACTTGAGGACCAAGAGGACCAGGCTGACCAGGGGAGTCCTTTGGAGCCCTAAATTAGGCAAATCAAATGAAAACACAAATCAAAAGTACTTCAAACTGACTTTCACACTAATTTACACAGACATTTAGCAATTCTTCATCCAAACACTAGATGGCAACAACTTCCAGCAAAAAAAAAAGAAAAATCATTTTACTTGTAATTTAAATGGATTTTGTTGTGCAGTTGTGGCCTGTTTGTGGCAAGTTAATCTTTGAGGGGTTAATAAAAATAGTTTTTACTGAACAGTAGACCTTACTTTCTCTCCAGGTTCCCCCATATGTCCACAGGGACCCTCTGCTCCAATAAGTCCCTGGGTAGAGGATGGCATGGCTTTGTTTTAGGTAATGAGCGTTAAGCAAGACCCATATGTGGTAATCACTGTACTTCCCTTTAACTTCCTCTTACCTCATCTCCTTTTTCTCCAGGTGAGCCAGAGTCTCCTTTATAGCCAAGAGGCCCCTGTTAGACAGAAAAGAGTAAGCTGCATGTAGAAGAAATGGAGAAGTTCACTGTTACTCCACTCTCTAGCTAAACTAAGTGCTAATAAGATCACTGTGTAATGTATTACACTACACTACAGTGTATTACATTTTTGCATGACATGGTGGCACAACATGGCCGTATGTACCTGTGGTCCAGGTATCCCAGAAGGCCCCTGTTGTCCATTCAGACCATTTTCTCCATCTTTCCCAGGAATGCCTGCTTTTCCAGGGACTCCGGGTGGGCCAGGATCACCCTGTAGTACACAATGAATACACAACGAATATTTAATTCAGAAGACTAAGGTATTTAGTAAATTACTCCCCGTCGATCATAGTAGCCCTCATGAACCCTGTTAAATTCTCATTATGGCAGGTGAAATTAAGTGGCTCAAAAGAAAGATGCTGAGGAACAGGTTGTTCCCATATGCACTGCAACAGTGCTTTGTGCTTCTAGCACTAATTTAACCCCTTAAAATCCTAGGCTTATTACATACTAAGGTTTATTATTCAGTACCTACATGGACTTCAGTGCAAACTAGCTGAGCTATTCTTAGGTTATAGAAGTGTATAATAAAACTTTTAGCCCACTAGTGGACGCTGGCCATTAAAAAGGGTTAACTGTATTGCAATAAAGAGTCTAATTATCAGTCTCTCTAAAACGTTTAGGAAACTCTTGGCCACACTGACTATAAGAAATTCATCTCACTTCATTAGCATAATTAATGCATATGTTGAATCTGTCTAATCCTTAACTAATATCTGGGCCTCACCTGATTTATCAGTTGGACAAGTACTTTTAAAAACACTTGGAATCGATTACACCTGATGTTAAACAGCTATTTGACCAGAAAAAAAGAAGGAAAAGAAAAATGAAAACACAGGGACACATTCATCAGTCCTTGTAATGAGAACCTGTGTATGTCTGTGTGTGCACTGTAGGCCTTCAGACTGATGGATTCAAATGAAAAGTGGCTAGACTGACAAACAGGCTTTGTGTCTTCAGCTGAAGGAGCCAGACTGCCCCGACAGTGACGAGTGTCAGTGACCATGATCAGTCACTTTACCCACGAGGAATGTTGAACCTCTTCTTCTACTGTAATTAAGCATATTGAGAATAGAACTGTATGGTCTATTACTGCAGTATACATCTATACACAGGGGTTAAATTGGGATTTCAGAGGTCAGAGAGGTCTGTTGTTTTAATTGGTGTCAAAAATGCAGGAACAATATTGTTCAGTTCAGTATTATGTGATATTTTTAATGGAGTTATCAGCACTGACATCATGAAAATGTGATTAAGAAATGCAGCATAATGAACATAATTTACTTAGCCTAGTTTTTTAGAGTTCCTTGGTTATCAGTTCTGGCATCTAAATATTCTCAACTGATTCTTTTCTGACAAAGACGAAAGACACACTGAGGCAGGAGTTGGAGGGCTAATGTGTAATGTTTGTTGTGGGCCAAGGGCCAAAAACACAAATAAGTGGCAAGCAACTCCTTAGCTTTATGTTTTTGCATGATGCCAGTGTATGTGCACTGTAAAGCTAATTTGGAGTTTTAACTTGAAAAAGTTAGTAACCTGGCTGCCTTAAAACGTTTATTTTACTGTACCTTAAATGATGAGTTGGCAGAATCTAGCACACACTATAACTGTTCTGTTAATGTACTATTTAATGTTCAATAAACCTGATATTCGAAAAACATCTAGTTTACTTACTTTTATAAGTTAAAATAATAATTATTTTTTTCTATACAGTGTAAAGAAACAATATTCTTTCAACTTTCCAATGATTTTTTTTATGTACAAGACACACTGCCTTAACTTTAAGTTCAGTGAAAAGATATTCTTCACACCAGTGGTCTCTAAAACCCCTCTTATCAGTGTACCACCACCTGCTAGCTCATAACTGCAAGCTTTACGTATGTCGTTACATCCACACTGCAGTCAGTGACAACTGTACGGTTTCAAAGGTCATTGATTTTTTAAGAACATTAAACAATATGTTTTATTCACAAAAGTACTTAAAGAAAAAGGGAAAAAGAAAAAGGGAAAAAGAAAAAGGAAAGCTTTTAAACTAGTAAAATAACCTCCCTTCTGACTTCTATATGCGTGGAGCAAGACTCTTGTTTTTAGAGACTGATCACAGATAAACTTCAGCCTTCCTACCTAACACAATTAACCCGTTTAACTTTGCTGAATTGATGGAACTGATCAGCAATATTGTGACGGTTGCCTCTCAGGAACATAGAACCTTTGTTATGCAAATGGACATTCGAAGAGGCTCGTGGGAGGTGCACACCACCTGTAAAAGGGACTTTTTGTTGGTGTTTGTGTTATTGTTGGCAGGTTGGAGGATGTGTTACGTATTACTTGGGTCTACTATAGTGAAGAGTCCTAAGGCTGAAAGTGACCTCCGTGCTATTTTGCCTGGTTTTAAGTGACTTTACAATAAAAATCACTTAGCTAGCTAGTTGCAAATGTGTGCTTTTGAGTGCATTTAAAAACAGTCAGCTGATCTAACAGTAGGCCAAACATCATATTTATGTAACGCTGTCACAATAATTCACATGCAGGCATATTGTATAAACAAATGTTTAACTACCCTAGTCACGGATGCTCTGGGTTCACACACACACACACACACTCACATGCAGAGGTTCCAAACGCACCAGGACTGATAAATGTGTCCAGGTGGTTTCATTTTTGTCCTCTTGGTTGTCTTTGTCGTTCTTCTAACACAGTATAATCAGCTCCAAGTCAAAGAGTGCATTGCTAAAAGCGACTTACCCGCATTTCACACTACATACAAAACCCAGAGAACACAGTTAAGTCCATTCTATAACCGGGAGTTTATGAAATAAATGAGGCTTCTTCCTGTTTTTGTGGTACCATTTTTCATTAGCAGTGGACCATCTACCATCTGTCCAGTGTGGGTCAGTTCATCTGCGGTTTCTCTGAGGCACAGACTCAATGTGTCACTGTCACACTTACTCCCACAAAAACCCACTATGGAGATTTCAGATTCCACAGCTCATGTTTATGAGGTTGAAGTTCAGGACTCTGAAGGGTGGAGTATTTAATAACTTTTGATTCAGCCACAAAGACATACAGTGCTTAATGAATTAGCCTAGATTTCATATGAATTTCTGAGACAAACATGACAAATATGTATAATATATGTAAAGTTTAAAAAACATAATGACAGGTGAAACAATGACAGAACTACAATGATATCATAGTTTATAATTGTGTTTAAGTGCATTGAAGAGTTACAAAGTTACAGTTTCTGGCCAAATTTTGTCCACCACTATTGAGCCGTCAAACGACTAATTAAGAAATTCTGATGTGATCATTGTTCACTATTCTATTCTGAGTATAGCAGTACAGCAAACGAGACTGCTGAGACTGTTAGGAGAGACTAGCTTTTACATCACATCTCTCTTTTTTTATTCGTCTTTTCATTACAACTTCTGTACAAATGAGAACATGTGCCATGCAGTTTTATGCAAAAGTTTGGGTGTCCCTGGTTAAATTACATGTTTTGTTGTCTTTTTAAGTGGAAATATGTGCACATCCTCCACAGAGAACACACTTATGCACATTTCAATGCACATTGTTTATTTGCTGAAATCAGCATATTGGAAAAAGTGCAAAACTTGGCAAACATTTAATATTTAATGTTTTATTTTTTCCAATATGTTAAACTCAAGCAAATACGTAGAAGTTGTGCACTACAATTTGCAGAAAAATGCCATATTCACTTATTAAAAAATAAAAAAACACATTTGACTGGTGGGCTTCAAGTTTTTGCATGTATGTATATGTCATGGTTGCTTACCATATCTCCTATGCGCCCTGGTTGTCCTCTTTCTCCAGGATCGCCTGGTGGTCCCTGAGTGAGAAAAGGGGTGGAGAAATTAAATATACTGAGGTTAAAGATTCTGCACAGATGCAGCATCTAATTATTAATGCTACAGCAGCAAAAATTTAAACTGAAAAAAGTATTGCTTTGAATTTATTTCTTTCAAATGTATACATCAAATGTGTTCATATATTTCATCAACACAATTACTGTGGTTCATTTTATTTACTTTTGCAAGAATTATATTTTATTCACACGAAATCAATGTATTGGTTGATTAGTTTTGCACTTGTGCTACAAGGCTAATGTAGCTAACAAGTGTTAATATTTTGCAAAGTGCAAGCCTATGTTACACATATCTCTCAAACTGTGTCGATTTGCTAAGTAATATCAAATAGACTTGCTGAAGTGGTCTCTGATACTGAACAACATTAAGCCCGTTTACACCTTGCATGTGTTTCGTGTCCAGATTGTATCTGGATAAACTTTGGCCAAATTCCATTTACATTTTTACTAAAATTTGTCCCCTGTTTGACCAGATAAGATCCAACTGCACTTTTTCTGTGTAAAAAGTACATCAACACACATCGTTTCCATTTCATGTATTTTGTACCTTTTTCCCCAGTACAACGTCAGTCAACAAGCTTGGCTTGGGCATCTTTATCAGCCTGAAGTGCATGAAGGCTCTTGGTTTGGGGCTAACTCCAGCTTCGTGTATACTTCATCTTTCATTTCACTGTCTATCCTCTCACCTGCTAGTCAGCACGCTGCAGACGCATTTCTAATCTAATCACCAGAAACACAGGGTGTAAACAAGCCCACTGTTATCTATAATATGGATTCCTGTTATGAAGTGTACTTTTATCCATTTTTATATACAAGGCAAGTATGTGACAATTTGGGCTCGCGGTTTTGGTGGGTTATAAGCGTCCATTAGTCTTGGAGCTCCAGTGCAAAACTAAAGATGAAAATAGACACCAAACATATCTTGGCTGACTGAAATTTGGGATAAGAGTACATAAAACTTTAAGTTTACTTTAAACATTAAGCTTTAACTTAGAAACTTAACATCTATAGCATCTTACCTGTGGGCCTGATTTTCCCATCTCTCCGTCTGGCCCAAGTGGACCCTGCTGTCTCTACAGGCTCACAAAGAACAGATAGGAGTCAGAGGGAGCCTATATTACAAAATCTGTCACTCATCTACAGACCCATAAAACCCTTGCACTATATGGTATACTTACAGGCCAACCTGCGTACAGCAGCTGGAAGAATGAGGTTTGCTGTAAACAGAGAAAAGCAAAACAAAGAAAGCTCAGTAACACTAAACAGGCACTTAACAACACATGCATAAGGACTGAATAGCATTTAAAAAACAGTGCTTGAGTATTTATGATCACCTTATGTCATTATTCTGAAGATGACCCCCAATGTTTATGAAGTAAATAACATTATATTGACATACAAGCCCTTAAATTAAAGTAACAGACATTTTAGCCATTTATAAGACTGTTATGAATAACATATAAGGATGTACCATGGAAATTATTACTTCAAGAGCTGATATATTGCATTCTTAAGTAGACCTCTGCCATGCCAATGATTCTTCACAGCAGTGTTATAAATGAAACACCAACACATTACTGTGTCTGTACAGTTGTGAATAGTAACATAAGCTGTTCATAGATGGTCAAGTATTATTTGATAAATATGTTATTCAATGCATATGCATGTGTTATAAAGTCCCTATGCACACTTTTAAAAAGGATGGTTCTTCAAGGGTTCTTTAGTAAAGTAAATAGTTTTCTATAGAACCATGAACACTCAGAACCCTTTGCATGATTAATGGGTCCTTTGCATGGTGAAAGCATGTGAAAGAGAATTCTTTGTCTTTGGTTTTATATAGAACCTTTTTGAAAAGGGTTCTACATAGGACCAAAAGGGTTCTTCTATTGTTATAATGTCAAGCTTGTGAAAAAAGAAGAACCCTTTTGGTGCTAGATAGAACCCTTTTCAAAAAGGTTCTATATATAACCATCCAAAGCACATTCTTCATTATTCTTCATTTATCATCAGGGTTCTTTAAGTGTTCATGGTTTTATATAGAACCATTTTCTTTAATAAAGAACCCTTGAAGAACCATCTGTTTTAAATGTGTATGTAACCTTCAAATAAAGTGTTTTCAGAAGTACGAATGAAGTGCACATGAGCATCATTTCCCATCTTCTGACTGTACTGTTCCACCTGAGCTCTGCGTCCTGGTTCACATCATTTTAACTCCTCTGAATTATTTGTTCCTCTGGCCAGACTGCAAACTTAAAAGTAGTGTGGAATCCATAACGCATGCTATATCGCCCAGTTCAGAAAGACCACATTTCGCACACTGAACACCCCAGCATGAATATGTTTCCAGTTAGAACCCGCCTGCATGTCCCAGCATCAGGGAGGAGATGCTCTCTCCATCCTGCAGAGTGAAGGACTGGCAGTGGAGGGAGAGGCTGATTGATAGGGTTACAGTGACCCTTTTCTATGACCCTGGCTATGCTCCATCAAACAGGGGGAGTTTAGCCTTTGCCTTTAGTAATGTGAATGACCTCTGACCTCTTGTAACCAAGCGCTGACAGCAAAACGGCTCTCTTCCTCATCTGAATCCATTAGTAGAGTCTGCCTGTACAGTACAGTCTAGTTCAAAGACCGTGAGTAACAAATAGCCCATTATCGCAACAAGAGAGCGCTCCACTTTCCCAGACAGCATCTTTATTCAATCCCAGGCTGTGCTGTGGGGCTTCACTCTGTGGTTACACAAGGTGCAGCTGTGTAGTGATGGCTGCATGAAAGAGCTGGGCTGAGTAAGTTTGTGGGCAACCCACAAGAACAGAACCGCAAGTAGAGCTCAGCAATAGTTCAGTGAAGAATCAAATTTACACAATTTTTCCCTTTAAGCCAGTTATAGTCAATCATTCAAGACACGTTTTGGCATGATTTTTGGTTGAACTATCGCTTTACAGAACAACATGCAGCGCATCTGTTTTGTTGTTTAACACCGATTCAGCATGTGGTTTCCTACATTATCAAATATTGATATAAATAAATTAGTGATTCCTAAATCACAAGGGTACCATGAACAAGGGCTCCATTCATTCAGCATGAAATTATAGGTAGAGTTTTACCTATAAATACCAAGCCTTTTGCCCAGGTTTGAGGTGCAAATTGGATCCATTCTGCCCTTGTGTTATATACAAGGCTCAATACACATGAGCCTAAATGAGCAGTCAATGTACATGGTAAATTCCTCTCCTCATGCATACGCATTTGAGGGAGGGCCATGCAAAACATACGAGAATCAAACTAAAAGTGGAAGGAGCTCATATACAGCTGATTATGTATTCCTATAGATTAGAAAGTTTGAGCAACTCACAGCTACTCTTTTTGCATCAGTTTTTTTCTACCTTTCAAAACTATGCGTAAATTTGTGTTAGGGTCTCAAAATATGTGTTATTGACTTCCTTTAACAATGGCAGCAGACACTATGTGAAGACAGGGCGCATAATATGCCACGACGTGGCCGCAATATGCATGCACAGTCTGTGTTATTGTTTCACATTCTTAACAAGAGACCCCTGGAGGGAAATAAGTTATTTTATTAACACTGCTATCTGTTCATCACCGAACTTACGTTATCTGGTTTATCTCAAGCTTATTATTTCACCGCGCTTTTTAAACCCTGTGCCTCATGAACGAGCAGATAGTGGGCAGGCTGCAGTCTTAGTAAATTGAGCGTGAAATCCAGGCGCACTGTGGGTGCATATTGCGGTACATCTGGCCCTAAATGTCTTTGATGTTTGACTAGATTTTAGATAAAGGCAAAACTATGTAACCACCCCTTTAATCAGGCCTGGAACTTTTTAGCAGAACCCAAAATATTTCCCAAGAATATTTGACAGAAGACCTGAGCCGACCCTGAGTTTTTAAACCAAACCTGACTGGAGGCCAGCAAAACTGACCTGACTGAACCTGATTGTAGCCTGACAAACCTCCACCAACCAGACAGCCAATACAATTCAACATTACAAAAGATGGTGATGCCTAAATGACTGTGTAACTGAAATGACAGTAAACAATGATAACCATCATCTGGACATTGATCAATAAAAATGAAATTAATAGTTTAATTAGGAGGTGTCAAAATTTGTTTTTACTAAAGGGCTGAATGCAATCCAAACATGGAGGATATCCCAGAACGTGAATATCTGAGAAATATTTAAGAAATGACATCTGAACTAAATCAAACCATGACAGGAATTGGGATTGGTGAAATATTTCAGCCTCTAGCATTAAGAGAACTGTGCTTCACTCCACCCATCTGATGCGATGAGAATGTGGGAGCTGAAAAAGAGTGGAGACTCACCTGAAAGGCAGCCCACTCTTCAGCGGTGTTCCTCCACAAATAAAGAGTTGGTAGTCCAGGTGGACCTGGTGGGCCTGGGTTTCCATGGCGACCAGGATGTCCCTCTGGACCCACACTGCCCTGGGAGGATCACAACAGTGATAAATGTTAGGTCTGTAAACTCTTTCGAAATCAGGGCAATTAGTCCTAAACAACTGTAAACCATTTATATCTAATCAAATACAAACCAATAATGAAATACAAATACTATTAATCTGAAACACAGATGTTCAAACATAATCACTGAACAAAACACACGTAACCATTTGTTCTAGATAAACACCCACGCAATGAGTAATACAGCCTATGAAAATCACTCATTAATACTTTTTTTCAGTCAGCGATTCCTCTTGAAAGAAGTGCAACTTGTAAATATTCATGGTAGTTCTAAATGCTGTCTGACTAACGGCTTATCTCTGCAGCCTCTCCTGCTGGCATTTGGACTCTGGTACAGAGACAGAGCATATGAGAGCAGTCAGTGAGGATCATGACAGGTCACAAAAGGTCAGTGCTCACAACCAGAAGCGCATGAACTTTTAAGTGAACTTCAGTGATAAAACAGCTTTAGCCTCAGGGACTGCTCTCCATGTCCTAATTCAACGTGACAGCACAGAGACTCTGGCAAAACACAGTCATGGTAACTGTGACAGCGCCTCTTTACTTCTCAATCATTAAACATTTAGTATGAGATGCCCGCCACTCACCTTGTCACCTTTGAACCCTGGATAGCCCTCACTGCCAGGACACCCCTAATGTCAGAAAGAAATGGAAAAATATTTTAAATTTCTCAGCCAGTCATTGTGAATCATTATTTTCAGAGAACTTTCAGAGATTTTTATTTAACATTTCACATGCTGCACTGATTCCAATTCAACAGGGTTAATTATGCTCTATTTTTAATGAAACATGCAGCTGATCATTTCTCTTGTATTTTATTTTCCCCTCAATTTATATCCTAACAAAATAATTTATTTACTGTTTTCCAACCTCTCTTTACTCCACAGAATTAAAATGGCTGTTTTTGTTACTTTGCCTTTAAGATTGATATATGTAAATGTCTTCTATTTCATTTGGCTGCCCTGTATTGTGCCTCTTTCAAAAAGCAGTAGGGGCTGAAACACTCCTTATAGCTTCAGTGAGAATGGGCGGAGCTAAACTGCTATAGGTTTAACAGGTATATATATATATATATATACACACATATATTACACATATATATGATATATAACAGTTACTGACAGTAATGGCAGTATCCACAATATGCACAGAAATGCATATCATGGTGTAATCTTCATGATAATGATAAAATATCATCAGATTGCCCACCCCAACTCAGGATTTTAAATGACTGATCCAAAATCAATTAACCCCTTAAATGACCAGGGCCCACTGGCATTGAAGTCCCTGTAGTTACTGATAATAACAGTTACTGGCAGTTACTGATAATAAGCCTTAGTAAGTAATAAGCCTGGGATTTTAAAGGATCAACTATTGCTTTTGTTATAGCTACAAAATTACTAAGATACAAAAATAAGTAAGCAACAAAAATGTAAAACAAAATACTTAATCTACTCAGCTAGGAGACAAACATCAAGGCTGGTGCTGCAGAAATAGAATAAGTCCAGTCTTAAAATAAAAGGGGTTTTCAATGGAGAGTGGGTGTTAAGAGTTTATTTAGAATGTGGCCTTAGCTGGGAAAGCCTCTATTCTAAAAGATCTAGTTTACAAGGTCAACTTCCCCAGAGTATAGACAGCCTCCAGGTCAATAAAAAAGACATCCCTTAAAGGCTCATTAACTGCACCAATGTAAGCACATCCTTAACCTTAGACCCTCTCTCTTAGCTATGCAGCTCAAAAAACTTTACAACATCCAAACCAGCCTCTTAAACTACAATACCCCATTAACTCAGGACTTGGCAACCATGTCTGCTCTGTTATTTTAGATGGAAACATAAATCTTCATTTTGGTCACCTCTTAAGGCAGGTGAAACTGTGGTGACAATTAATGGCCTTGCCTGAATGTCTTGAACAATTTCCTTATTTTATTTTACATTTATGACATTTGACAGACACTTTTATCCAGAGTGACTCACAATTTTACAGAGCATCAATAGTCTTGCCCAAAGACTCTTATTGATTTAGCATTGTATACTCACCCAAGCAAAGAAACGAACCCCAAACTGCCAAGTAAAGGGTAACGGTGTTATCTACTACACTATACCAACCACAATGCAAGATCAGTGGTTCCATGGTAGAGCTTATTGTCCGAACCTGACAGGACTCAGCTGGTTACATCTGGTCCGGTAGAGTTCAAACATCATTTCCCAAATATGTGTTGGGCTCGGGTCAAGTTCGCATTCTTATAGTCCGCCTCCCACTTTTAACAGATTTTACTTACTTTCTTCCTCCTCTCTACTGAATCACCTCACAACAGTTTTTAATTTGCTGGAGTCACCCACTCATGCTGTTGACAGCATATAACACAAGGCCCACGCTCATGAGAAAAAGGAAGAGCGGGAAATAAAAACAGAAACGATTCAGGAAAGTACAGATTAATGCAGCTAAAATGACGTTCAATTCCTTTGTAAACTGTTTTTATGTTATATGTAACATGTAAAGTAATATAGCTTTAGGATTAAAGAGGTAAAGGCAAACATCTTGCCATATCAGCAGTGCACAGCATGAGAACAGCACACTGTGGAAGGTTTATCTAGACTACAAAACACTGGGATGTTGTTGGACAACGCATTACTTACAGAATAAAAATTGAAACCTAATTTTGGACAGCTGATTATTTTATAATATTATTTACTTTTGTATTTTGTTGGTGTGTGATATAATGATGGCTATTACTGTTGCTATGTGGTTATTTAACCAGCGTTATCTTGTCACGCTTTATTTGGCACATTGAGTGATGATTTGGGGCAGTTCAGCTCATAATTTTATGGCACTCGGGTCAGTTTTGGACTCAAAAACTTGATGTGGCTCAGGTTGTGTCGTGTTCGGACAGAATTTTGGCCCGGGGCAAAAAATTCTTGAGCTATATTTGGATTCGGACCAAAATTTCAATGCCATATAAAGGGGCACTCAGCTGATTTTTCAAAATGTCTGAATGATTAAATTATTACAGTGTAAACAAAGTCATTCGGAGTGCTTTGATATGACATGTTGTGCTGCAGATAAACTCTTTAAGATTTCTTTACAGTAGTGGTGATAGGAACCAGGGCTAGCAATTTCTAAAGCACAAATGTAGCCATTTTAACTACTAAAATGACCAGTGAACCGACACGTGTCTTTTGAGTTTTTATATGCAATGTTAATAGTAGTAAAACAATAGTAAATCAGAAAAAAATGTTTTGTCACTATTTTATTATTACTATTATTGTCTTAGTACTGTTCTTTAACTTTTGTCTCACCATACTTAGTTGTTTTATGTATTTTATAACTAATGCATTTAATAGATTTATTTGATTGTTTTGTTAATCTTATTTTCTTATTTTTAGTCTTGTTTTCTAATTTTTATTTGTCTTATGTATGTTTTAATAATAATATTTTTGGTCTTATTTATTTTCTTTGCTATATTTTTACTACCAAACATTTATATTTACTCTCTTTAATCCCTTCCTTTTTTATAATGCTCGGCTACATTGTAAATGAGGGTCACTCTCAATGTACTCCAAGTTTAAATAAAGGCTGACTGATTGATTAATTTGGGAACGATATGGCCTTACAACACTCGGCATGTAGCTCTCCACCCACTGTGAATAATTCTCAGTAAGACTCTGTAAGAACAAAGTGTTTCACTTCAAACTACTCTGAATGAAGCTGTTTACAGTTTAGCATTTAATTATGCAGAAACTTTGAAAATTGGTTGGAATCACTTGATTAAAACTCATGCATGGTGAAATGTGCAATCAGGTGAAGTGAGCATGGCAGACCTCAACTTATCTGTACACATGAATGCACATACTGTTTTTCTGGACAGCAGCATTGTGCAAACAAATGAAGTACTAATCACGCGCACAGTGGAATTCAAACACAAACGAATGTCCACATGCCCACACACACACACACACACACACACACACACACATATATGGAATGACACCCCAGAATCCTGCTCAGCACCGCCCAGGACCTCCTGCTGTAGCCTAAAGCACACCAGCATCCCCAGCCCTGTGATGGGGGGCAGGAAATGAGGGAAGTTGCCTGTGTTTTCTAATGAAAGGCAGGGGAAGAAGCTTTAATTACTGAATATCTTCCTACTGCTGGCTTTTATTCGCAGCCAGTGGGACATCTTGCCTTCATGTTGCCAGCAGCGGGGCTGACTCAGAGCTGCGTGAGGATCAGAGGGGGGGCTCGAACAGAACTGTGGACATGGCGCTTAGCCAGGTTGCTCCATATGCTGCTGCATCTGCTCCTGCTTGTGCTGGTCATGCCGCTGCCTCGTAAAGCAGATAAGCGGGGCACTTTGAATGGACTGTGCATTTGGGACCCATTCCCCCTGTAGCCAATCAAAGGGGACTGGACAGTTGTGATAAAGACTTGCTGACACTCGCTGAGCATAAAGCTTAAACAAAAAGTTTAAATATACACATGCTGATGGAGATCAAAGACTTGAATCAATTTCTTGATACGCACACTGTCAGATGGAAAAGAACTGAATTCAGTGCCAAGCGTTGACCAGAGGGGTATAAAGCCCCGTCAGCACTGGGCTGTAGAGCAGTGGAACTGTTTTCTCTGGAGTGATGGAACACCATCCTGTACCTGTGGAATGAGCCTCAATGGTGTTTGTGATCCAGAACTAATCATCCAATATCAGTATCTGACCTCTCTAAAGCTCTTGCAGCTGCATGGAAGCAAATCTTAAACCTCAAATTTCTAATACCTAGTGTAACCTTCCCAGAAAAGTAGAGACTGTTACTGCAGCAAACAGGGGACAAACTCCTTATTAATGCCCTTGATTTCAGAAGACACTGAATGATCAGGTGCCTGTAAACGTTTGAATAGTATATTTCCAGGCTATTGGAAAAGAAAATACAACATAAATTCACCACATCTTATCAAACTTGTGCATTACATTAAATAAGCATATACTCACTGTTAGCCCACGGGGACCCACTGGCCCTGGAGGCCCTCTGCGGACCTGATAGATTCTCCCATCTGAGCCTCTCACCAGGCCCCCTTCTTTACCTGTGAGAACCACAGTGCCTAAAGAGTCATGAACGCTGGCAGTTGTAGTTCTTCGGTCCTGACTAATGCTCTCCTTGGTGGATGTGATAAATGGAGCCTTGGTTGTTGCTCGCTTTTCCTCCACTTCCTTTACCAGGTTGGACTCAGAGTCATCAGGTCCTGAGGGGGGCTCCAGTGGGCTTTCTCCAGAGGGTTTCTTTGAGACAGAGGGAATCCTAACATCCAGATCGATAACAGTGTTATCCACTGGCTTCTTAGGGAAAGTTTTGTCATCTTTGCTCTTTTCAGTGGTGATGTTCTCATCCAGATGCTTAGATGCAGAGTCTGGTTTGCCTCCATTGCTGCCTTTAGCAGGGGCTATGTGGGTCTTGTGAGGTAAGCCACCATTTTTGGACAGTGTGTTGGGGTCAGCCAGATCAGTGTCCTCATCCACCTCAAAGACGTCTCCGCGGCCCACAGATCTGGGCCTCTCGGAGCCTGTAGGGAGCGTACCGTCTCCACGAACTAGCCCACGTCTCCTCAGACCCTTTACACGCACACAGATAGTGAGAGAGAGAGAGAGAGAGAGTATTATATTAACAACATAACTACTACAAACTTCAGAAATAGCCAATGACAATATAGCCTTCCAAACCACAATAAATGCCACAGGAGCTTGTCTTGGGAATGCCTAATATTGGGACTGACCACATTAAAAGGAACAGTGTGCAGTGTGTGTTTATGATTCAGTGTGTGTATGATTCAATCACTGAGATTGAATTGTAAACAAATTGTAAAATTGTCATTCAGAGTGTTTGTAACACAGCTTTTAGCATTGAACACTTTGAATGCCTGGTTCCTATCACCACCGCTGTGAGCGATTCTGACTCAGTACTTTTCTCTAGAATGGAGCATTTCACATCAAACCATTCTGAATGATACTGTTTACATCTTAACCACTTAATTATGCAGATAAAAAAATCTGTGTATATTTCCCTGTAGGCAGACCTACACAGGATTGTGTCTTAGACTATTTAGCATTATATTATGCCATAAAGGAAAAAGCAGAAAATGTTTTTTTCACTTATTCAATGGATAATTCTGTTAATTACATACACACATTCTTTGAATATAGAAGGCAATTCCCTCATTTCATTAACAGACCATTCCATTAATGTATTATTTACAGTATTATCTGTCTGTACAATGTGTTTTTCCCTTAACTCCACACAGAAATGATGATGGTTGAGATGGAGAAGTATTTCCCCAACTGTTTGGCCTTTGCCTTGAGCACTTCTCCAGTGTCCACACGGTGCACATGTCCAAAACTGCCACACAGACACGCATACAGACACACATACAGTCCAGGCTGGGGGAGTGGTAGAAAATTCTGAGAGCTGCCCCTGTAGCCCTGCGGGTCAGATCGAGGAGCTGGGAAGCTGGGAGGCAGATGCTGCGGTGCATGGTTTTGAACTAGAACTCAGGAAATAAGAAACAGTCGTGTCTCTGTTAAAACACATGCACTAGGGTGTGATGGGAGGCGTGCTGTTATGTACCAATATAAGAGGCAAAGCGAGAGTCATGTCTCTTATTGCTATAATGCTGTATTGCCATGTGTGGATTGTTTATCGTGTGGCTGAGTGGATGTAGCAGATATGTGGTCACTAACACGGCACATTTCTCTCATGCTGAGAGAATGCAGCCCATGACAACGGCGCAGCGTGATTTAGGAATCACTAATTTACAGCCTGGATAATGCTAGAAATTGGGTGCTGAATCAGGGTTTTAAGACCAAAACCAGATGCACAACATACAGTTTTGTCCTATCAAATTCATAGTTGGGCCAAAAATCGAATTTACATGGTTACCTACTTACTCCAAATGTAGTTGATCAGGCGAGACATGTTCGGTGTCCGAAGTTTGCTTGTTTAATTTTGCACTGGAAGTATTGAGCTAATGAAGCTAACAAGAAATAAAAGCAGTAATACTTTCTCTGAAGGCCACCTACATACTGACTTCATTACAAATGCATACACATTGAATAACATATTTAAGACATTGTATTGACATAAAGGCCCTTAAATTAACGTGACAGACACTTGTTCCATTTATAACACTGTTACGAAGAATTTACAAGGCCGAAGCCTAGTTAAGATTGCTATGCTAAAAGGATACACTTAAGTATCATTTATACACTTAACTTGAGGGCATCAGATAGAACTGATAGAACTGATCAAAGAATTGATACAGTATGCAGCGTTCCTTACTGCCTTTCGTCTTGTTCTTGGAATTGACACATTATAACTGGATATAAATGGAACTAATGTCCATCATTTTAGTTTAAGGCTAATTAGTAATTATCATCATTTACATGACAAAACATCACTGATATAAGCTGTTCTTAAACATTCAAGTATTGCTTTTTAAATGCATTATTCAGTGCTTATGCATGTGTTATGAAGTCCCTATGTAAGAAGCCTTCAAATAAAATGTTACCAAACTTATACCAATTAGCAAAATACACTTTACAATCATCACACATTTGTCGAATTGCTAAGTAATTTCAAATAAACGTACTTTCTGACAGTGTATGACATACAGTTATCTGTAAAATGGATGAAGGTATTTTGTCCCTCCTTTTATCCACTTTTATAGATAACAGTATGTTTGGGACTATCAGCTGCTTGATCACTGACTTCTCTATAGTCAGTTATTTTTATTTCATTGCAATAAAATGGACTCAGGCTGGGCAGGTGTGGCACTATGCTCCACTGCTATTGCTTACAATAGCCCTTTCAGTGGCCTGAGTCTGAAAGGAGTCTGATAAGCCGTCACTCGATCTCCACCTGGTCGCAGAGGGCCGTCGGCCAGCTTATCTCTCACCCTACAGTTGGCCAGAAAAAACCCTGCCAGAAAGAAGCTGCCCACAAGGACTCCCATTAGGAGACCGCTCATGCACAGCTGACCAATTTCAGGAACCACCTGATAAGCACACATAATGCCTCATTTGACCACCAGGGGGCAAACTTTAGAACACTTTCTACCTAACAACAGGCTGGTGAAAACACCTGCTTAAAAATAAAGATTTGTAAATGGTTCTTAGCTTTTATGGTTCTAGGAAACACCTTTATTTGGTATAGAACTTTTTAAAAAGTCCTTCACACTCACACATCACACTTACAAATACAGTTCTTTGAAGAACCATCCACTGAAAGGTTCTTTAGGGAACCAAAAATGGTTCTTCTATGGGATCTCCTCAAAGAACCCTTTTTGGCATCCTTAAATAATGACAGCGTGATAAAAAAGTTCAATACTGATTTAGTCTGAAGTCAAGGTCTGTGACCATCAGAAAAAATTCAAAGCTAAAAGTCAAACTGGATAAAGGCTTCGTCTTTTGTTTAAACTAAAAGATAAAGCTGTATGACAGAATAAGACCCAAAGACAGCAAACTTTCGAACGTTTATCATGCCAAGCATGCAAAACATACAAGCCCCTGTGATTTAAGATTTATGACTGAACAATGATTGATGTTAGCGTTCACTGACACAACATAGATCATAATAATTACTTAAAAGCCTGAATCATGGAAAAAAGCACAGTTACCTAAAAATGCTCAAAGCCCTCAGGCTGAGGACATGTTTATTCACACAGTTATACATGCCAAGAAGCCACTGCCATGTCTGAGAGCGCATCTAAGGCATTTTGTATGGGCAGATTCATACCAGGACAGAATTTAGCTTCAAATGTCAGAAAATGAGCTGTATTTGATCCACAACAGTTATGACACACATTTATGAGCTGTACTTCCCACACAGGTACATGCACAAAAAAATGGGTTGCTCTGACTTAAAAGGGGACGGCTACCATAAATCTGCTTTATAGACAGAGGAATGCATGAGGGCAACGTTTAACCGGCTGTGTCTTGTAAGCCGACTAATGCAAACTACAGAGGCCTACGTTTGGCATTTCAAAACATAGGAAAATGGAAATAAAATAGATGTTATGAGGAAAAAACAGACAGAAAAAGAGAGAAAAATACAGTCTAATTATTCTGCAATGCACATGTGTCTGGACAAACAAACTTATGAAGAACCATTGTGATCATAGCTCTAAATCATGCAGGATCACACTGAAGCAACTCTGGAGAAATGGCTGGAATTAAAATCAGCTGTGGTTATTCTTGCTGCAAAACCACTGAAAGTCAAAAGCACACATTTGCACACAGTGAAAGGATACTTTACTGTAATTTAGGTTGAACCAGAGCTGTGGTGAGGGCTTCTCTCTCATAAACCAAAACCATTGTGACCCTCCCTCACAGTTTAATGCCAAAACCAAAAACAACCACAACCTTTAGCACTTTTCCCTCGGAAGAGTGAGACCGAGAGTGTGTGCGAGACAGAGGAGGGAGCATGGAGGGAGAGCATGTATGTGGTAAAATGATTTATATCTAAATATAAACAAGTCAATTTAACTAACCCACCTTCTCAGACCAAAATGAGCTGAGCTTTCTAATGTGGCCAATTAAAACAGAATGATTTTAAAACATGTTGTATCTGTATGTCTGAAGTGTGAAGTATGAAGTGGTTCTATAGTCACAGTATGTAATAGAGGATTAGTTATAAAGCCACAATATATTACACACACACACACACACACACACACGCACAAACATTATCCAAGCTGCTTATCCTTCTGGGTCGCAGGGGGTGCTGGAGCCTATTCCAGCAGTCACTGGGCGAAACAATATATAATCATTACATCATAATTATACATCAACAACATATAACAGCAGATCAGTTACATAGCTACAATTTACAATTTGTAATAGTGATTTGGTTACATATTCACACTTTATAATGGTGGACTGGTTATACATCCACAGAACATATCAGTGGATTGGTTATATAAAACTGTATAGTCTATCTGTTGCTCTGCATACTTTGTTAGCCTCCTTTCACCTTGTTCTTCAGTGATCAGGACCGGTACAGAGCCGGTATTATTTGGGTGGTGGGTCAATCTCAGCACTGCAGTGACACTGGCGTGTTTGTTGTGCTGGTACAAGTGGATCAGAGACAGTCGTGCTGCTGGAGCTGCTGGAGTCCACCTTCTAAATGTAAAGTCAGAGACAGTAGCTCATCTGTTACTGCGCAGTTTTTTTGGTCATACTCTAGTCCTTCCTCAGTGGTCAGAAGACGCTGCCCACAGGACGCATTCATCACCAACGAGTCATTATCACTGCAGTGATAAGAATGATCCACTACCCAAATAATACCTGCTCTGCGTTGGTCCTGGGGGGGTCCTGACCCTTTGAAGAACAGGGTAAAAGATGGGCTAACAAAGTATGTAGAGAAACAGATGGACTACAGTCTGTAATTGTAGAACCACAAAGTGCATCTATTTGGCAAGTGGAGCTGATTAAATGGACAATGAGTGCAGATACAAGGAGCCACTAACATGCTCAGTGAGTGTACACCCGCAACATATAAAAGTAGTTTTTGAACCTCTGTTATATACTACGGACAGAGTTGGGATGTAACAAGAGACTTT